ACCTCGCGGAGCCGCTGCGCCTGCGCGGGGCGGGCCGCCGTGCTCCCCTCGGCTGTCCCCGGCGCTCCGCGGCTGCACCGCCGGCGTTCCGGGCTGTCCGCGCCCCCACGGCGGGAGGCGATCCCAAGTGTCCCGTGTTCCATTCCCGGGGAGCCGCCGGGCACTGAGGGGCTGCCGGTGGGTGCTGCAGCCGCCCCTGGTGCGGGGCAGGGTCCGGCCCTGCCGCCGCGCGGGGCTGGGGCGTGAGGCCTGGGGCCGAGGGGTTTGTCAGCCCGGCCTGCTGATCTGTGCTCTCTCTCTGTCTCCGCTTCCCTCTCACTTCCCCCCGCTTTTTTCCTTTTAAAAAATTTAACAGCACAGAGAAGTTTCGCTTCTTTTTGGCCCGCAGGTTGCTGTTGTTTGATGCTGCGTTGTTGTTGTTTTTTTTTATTTTTCCCTAACTGTAAGGCTGGGATTTTAGTGGAGACCGCGATCCGTCGCGATGAGCTTTCTGCTGCCCAAACTGACCTGTAAGAGGGAAGTGGATCAGGCAATAAAAAGCGTCGCTGAGAAGGTTTTGGTTCTCCGTTTTGGAAGAGATAATGATGCTGTTTGCCTGCAGCTCGATGATATTGTAAGACCTTTTTTTTTTTTAATGGACCGTGCCAGTAGAGTTGGTGCATAGAAGAGAATGTTGCTTTTGCTAAGATAGGCACTCATGAAAAGTTGGTGACAAATATAGAATGAAATTACACAATATTTATTAAAAGGTTTGAAGAGTAAGCATCTGTGTTACTATTGTAGTGGCTGAACAAAGTGCTTGAGGTAGACAAGATGTGATATTCTATACCTGCTTAATCTGGTAACACATAAGAAAAACAGGCTTTAACAAGCTTGGACTCTCTTGTCCTCGTGTCTCAGTCTAATTGTCATCTGCCTTTCTCACTCTTTTCAGCTTGCAAAAACAGCCCACGACCTAAGTAAAATGGCAGTCATTTACCTGGTGGATGTGAACGACGTCCCAGTGTACACCCAGTATTTTGACATCAGTTATATTCCATCTACTGTCTTTTTCTTCAATGGACAGCACATGAAGGTTGATTATGGGTAAGTCATCCTACCCTTGTCTATTATGTCCATAAGAATTATCAGTCTTTTTCTATGTTATCATGTCTGGGGAAGGTAAAATTTGAAAACTATAATGTTGCTACCAGCATCTGCATTGAGAATTCTGTAGGAAGCCAGAAGGATCTAAATAAGGAAGTAATTTGAAATGTGCTCTGATGCAATAAGTAGGTGAAATATGCCTGACTCTGCAAAAACTAGTAAGAAATGGTTAAAATCTTAGACATGACACTGCACCTGTTTGACCTTTGGAGGTCACAGCATATTCCTGACTTGGTTATGCTGTCACAAAGTTAGTTCTTCCTTTCAGAATGAGCACTCCTTATCTCATTTGGGCATCTTTTCGCATTTTTAGGTGTTTTTTCTCTGAATACTTTAAAGTTGCAATTCTGCCTTTGTCTTATATTTAGGTCTCCAGATCACACCAAATTTGTGGGAAGCTTCAAAACAAAGCAAGACTTCATAGATCTGATTGAAGTGATTTACCGCGGAGCCATGCGGGGAAAGCTCATTGTGAGAAGTCCTATTGATCCCAATAACATTCCTAAATATGACCTTCTCTACCAAGGAATTTAATGGGTTGACCTGAGAAAATAATTACACAAATGGACGATGTGGTAGATCCCTTTTTCCTTTGAGCATTTTTGGCCTCCTCTGACATTGTGGGACAGTTTGAGCATTTATCCTGAAGGATCATATTGATCTCCTTCTGAAGACAGATATTCTGTCACCTCGTGCTTCTCTCATAAATAAAGCTACATGCTCATGCACAGAGTTCACAGGAGTGGCTGTTCTTTGAGTTGTGTGCTGACCAGCCCTTACAAAACAGTCAGGCTACTCAGCACATCCTCAGCTGTGGCATCTCCAGTGCAACCTTCTTCAGGGAACCGAGGCACTCTGTCAGTTGTCTGTTTGGTACCATTTTCATTCAGATGTAATAATAGTAAACCTGACATTAATAAAAGAAGTTGTGCTTGCTCTCAAGAACATTCAATTGAATGTGCCTTATAGAATGTTACATTTTACCCATTGCTGCATAACAGGACAGAAGTTTCTTCTGAGAGACGATGACTGAAATCTGAAGTGGATATAAACACAAAGGCAAGTTGATGCTCTCTTCTCTCTGATACCCGTTATTACTGTTCAGCAGATTTTTTGGACTGAGATTGGAATGCTCTGCACTTGTAGGAGAAGGTTTGGTCATCCAAAGGATCCTTTTTTGTGGCCATTGAACACTTTTGATTCCCATGGGTTTGAACTGGAAATTAAGAATAATTTTTTTGTTTACATTCACTTTAGAGATTATTTGAACTTCTGCTTGTACACATTGCAAGCCTTGAATATATAAATTTAAAAACTGTATTTCCCACCTGTCTAAATTCAAACAGCTGAGAGGAAGCAGCAGTGTCATTGCTTTGCATCAGTTTGTACACATTGCAAGCCTTGAATATATAAATTTAAAAACTGTATTTCCCACCTCTGTGTAAATTCAAACAGCTGAGAGGAAGCAGTAGTGCCATTCCTTTGTATCAGTTTAGTAACTGCAGGTTGCCAGACTGGTGTATCTCTACAGCAGCTCATGCCCAGTGTTCTCACTGGCTTAGCTGGGTTTAAAATGGAAATTGTTTTACCTCCATGTGTCATGTTTGGGGCACACCAGCTCTGACTGGAGGGACTGTAGTAGTAAATACTTACCTGAAGCATTGTTCAGCTTAACAGTAAATGTTTAAGGGAGGAAGGTGGATGTTCCAGATCTTGAAAGATTTTAAACAATACATGGTACACAGGAGGAAGCAGATTGTTTAGATGCTTTTGCTATTCCATATTTGGCCTTCTAATGAAGCTAAGCACTTAAGCAAATGTTTTCCTGATAGTTCAGTCTGATTATAGAGCCAAAACTATAGAATGTTTATTATAGAAAAAATGATAGATGAGAGTTGGTATACATTAACATCTTTAATTCAACCTTAAATTTCACAGCTAGCCAAAGGGTTGTGGCTTAAGGCTTTCAACAATGTGTATCTTTCCTAATAGTTAACTTTTGTGTTTTTCTTCTCAAAACAAAACATTCTAAGTTTCAAACTTAGAACTGTGAATTTCTCCACAGTGAGATGAAGGCGCTTAAGTGATGAAAGGGTGCAGAAGCACTTGTGAAAGGAAGAGACCACTATCAAGAACAAAGTGTATCTTTACTTATTGCCTCTCTTCTTTTTTGTGCTGCTTCTGGTTGCAACAGGCGAATTCCTCAAGGCTGTTGTGATCTTGGCTTTCAGCATGCTCTTCAGGTACTTAAAGATGGGTTGTAAGCAGCAGGAGGGTGCTAAACCATACTTTTCTGTTCCAGCAGAGAAAGTAGGACAATTTACTCTCATGAGAAAGTGCACAGTTTTATTTAAGGGTTTACTATTTGACACCCATTCTCGGCAGTTTTTGTGTATCCATTCCTGTATTTCTGGATCATGTCTGCTCTGGTGCTGCATGTTGTGTGTGGAGTCAATGAATGCCACAGAGTACACTTTATTCATCACCTCACGTTTCCTCTGCACCAGCAGATCAACAAACACCAACCCACCATAGCCATGGGCAATGAAGGCTACATTCCTGGCTGCACTCTTTGCAATGAAATGATCCCATACATACAAGGTATGCTCCTCAGGGCTGCTGCTTCCCCTTTTGGGGATCCAACAGACAGACTGTGTAAAAGGAAGCCCTTCTTCCCTAGCAGAAAATCTTTCCTTTTCAATGTTCAGATCAGTGAAGTTGTCATTGGGGTTCAGTACAATCACTTCCCAGTGGCTCTGCAGGGCCATTTTGATGAATGATATTTGTGTTCCATGTTTCAGGCCCTCGCTGACAATTGCCCGTCGCCCCCACTGTCCAGCACAAAAAACTCCTTGGTCTTGAAGAAAGATAATTAGGCTAGAGGAACTTGTTAGTGCATCCTTGCTCATGAAAAAGAAGCTTCTTGGTTCACCCTCTGTAGCATCAGTAGGAATGTAAACCTTCTGCAGCATGCAGACTCTTTCCAGGAGCTCATAAACATACTGGGTAATGGAATGTCCCAGAACTTCGTAGCGTTTATGATTCTGCTCATGTCCGTTCTTGTAGTAATTGAAAACAAAGCACTCATTTGTATCTAGGTGCCTCAGTTCCCCTTTTATATTGAAGTCATATTTTAGTTCCTCTTGATACTCTGAACCCTCTGTTAGTTTCCTCAAACTGAGTTCACGCTGTATTTGTAACCACTACAAATTAAGAAGACTATTATGTCAAAGTAGTGATAGACCTCCACACAACACATGCTACCCACCCCTGTCCCACATGAGAATTTAGATTTAAAAGCTGTTACTAATGAAATACTTGTTGAACCAGAGTATTTAATGGTGATGTATAGCAAACCAGCTGCTTCTAAAGCCTCTTAGATATGTCAGTTACGAAGTTCCAACAGCAGTAACTCCTCTGCATTTCTTACACCTTATTTCAGTTTGGTAGTTAAAAATTTGTAAGTAGCATGTTTATTTAAAGATCTGTTTAAGGTAGTTTGAATTAAAGGCTTTAAGAAGGAGGCATATGTACATGGTTCATTGTTCACTTGAACAACCTTTATTGTGCTGTCTCCTAGCCATTATCTTGGAACTCCACTGAGTTTCAAGGCCACCTTTGAAATTCAGGCCTAGGCAGTTGGAAATAGTCCAAGTGTCATAACTGGATCCTGAGTTTTTAAGAAAATAAGCTGTGCTTACTGAGGACTTCAACCTTCCTGCTGCTTGTCTACCAGCATACTCTCCATGTTCTTCTACCTTCAACTGCACTAGAACAGATAATACATGTATGTGTTTGCTTTCTGCTAATCACTCTAGTTAGTTATTCATCCTTGCAAGCACTTGCCACATGGAAATAGAGGAATGGATGGCAGAATAAACTAGCCATTGTGATCCAGGAGCAGGAGAAAAGAAAGCCCAGGCAGAAAACTATCATGAGGTTGGACTGAGGTCTCCAATTTCAGATTATCTCTAATGACTGATATGAATTATACCAGAAAGTGGTTTTTGTGCAGCTGAAAAATTAAGCTTATCATAACCTTCTACTTTCCTAGTAATTCTTCAATCTACTACTGACAGTCACTGGCTGTAGAATGGCAAACAGGGTTATAACCTTTGGTGTGGTCAGAATCCTACCTTTACAGGAGTTTAGTCCTAATGCAGTGATTTTTTTCCCTGTAAATTATGTGAATCAAGTTATATTTGGCAAGTTAGACTGTATACCTTTAAGTTTTTCTTGCTGAACTAAAAGAAGTTTTATAGAAGACAGTAGATTACATTCTATGTTAAAAGTCACTGTACCATTTGATAAAGCCAATTACTAGGACAAAAAGTGATCCGAATATTTTCATGTAAGCAACTTGATTTGGAACCCAAATCTTGCAAGGAATGAAAGTTTCCTTGAGGTAAGGTGCTTAGTATATTTAAAATTATTTCTTACACTCCTAAATTAAAAAAACCAACCAAACAAAACCAAATGAATGCATTTTTGCTTTTCAACATGGCAACACCATATGTATTTTCCTTTTGAGTAATCTCCACTGGGCTAGTGTTATTAAGTCCTCTCTTTGTGTCATTCCTATCTTCTAAATAATACAGAGCAGGCTAGAAAATTATACTTTCTCCTTTTTTATCTAATATAATCAGTACACATAGAAAAAGGGGGAAAATCATATGCTATGATACATAATCTATTTATTACTAGCTTGCCAGTTTCTTGAAATGGAAACAGCACAAAGAAAATGCAAGGGTGCCCATTCATCTATGATTTTTTCATTCTGCAGGAAGGCACGAGAGACAAAGGAGATAGGAAAACAGTCTGTTTGCTATACTGCTGAAATATGGGCAATTAATGCAAAAAAGGTAATACTGAGTGGGAAAGAAGCTACCCATATTCCAGTTGTTGTTCCCATGAGACAAAGTAGGAGAAAAATGGACATACTTAAGGAAAGATGTGTGTAAAGAAAGGCAGAAAGCTTTCTGTAAGAATTAGGAATAGGTAGATGCTGTTTCCTCAGAGTAGTATGCTGTGCACCACCTCTGAGTCCCTTTCCCTTCTCACCCCTAAAAGGTTGGAGAGACTAATTTCCCAGCATATTCTGACGAGGAGGTTACTATTCTTTTACTGCAGCTACTAACAGCAACATTGCTTTTTCAGCTCCAAAATAAGGATCTGTGATTCAGAATTGAACACTGAACATCTACTTTACAAAGCATTGTGAAAGGTTGCTGAAGATTTCAGGAGGCAGAAACAAACAAACACAGTTTTACAGTGTTCGTAAAGTGCACATATGACTTTCCTACCTAAAACTGCCTTCAGGATGCAAAATGAGACAATTAATGATTGGATATCACTTTGGAGTTTACTTAAATAGCAGCTTAGAATTACATACTTATTAGTCCAGAGGACTGATTTTATTGTAGTAACACAATTAATTATAGAATTAAAAAGTAGCAATTACAGGTTGTTCCAGATACAGCTGCATAATGCATGCACTTCTTTGTTGTAAGTCTGCATTCTAAATCAGCATTGATATCTCTTTGTACTTCACTCTCTGTATATAAATGTAATATTCAAGGTTGTATATGCTGGCAGCCTTTATAGTTGCTACCTTAGTTTAAAAATTTACTTTTGGGGGAAAATAATCCCTCTTTCCCTTTCTCCCACCTTTCTATTCAGATTCTAAAATGCTTCAGATGTAAATTCAGCTGGTGCTTGTTGCAGCATTTAGCATATTGCAAACACCACTGCAGTATAAGTACTGCATAAGATCCATAAAAATTACTTTGTTTTCCATTTAAAACCACTTCATTCTAGTAAAGCCCAGTATTACCGTATGCTCTTCTGTAAAATCTGTCATCATCATAGATGGAAATATTTTTCACTCTGGGAGTGTAGACAAGTCCTCTGCATAAAAACAAACAAACAAACAAAACCAAACCAAACCAAAACAAAAAAACAAACAAAAAAACCCCCCAAATAATGGTTTCAGTTTTCGTTACTTTACATACTGGGGCGTGTATCTACAAGATCTGTCAGTAGCTGATAGTTTGTAGCCATCTAAAGTGCTCCCGATAGTTCCAAGTTACAAACTAACCTCGCATGTTTGTAACTCGCACCTGAGAGGAAGCTAAAGCTAAATCTAGAGTACGAAACAAAACATTCGTCCGCACCAGTTTTAATGCCCATTACCAAGAGGAAAACAAAGCAGAAAGCGCCGCACAGAACTTACAATTCTGAAGCTGCCCTGAAAAAAAACAAACCAACACAAAAAAGACAAAACAAACAAACAAACAAACAAAAAAAAAAACATAGAAAAAAAATCCAAAAAAACCCAAACAAAAACCCAGGCAATAAATCTTCCTCTCCCCTCAACAAACAAACAAACAAAAAAAAAACCACAGAAAAAAATAAAAAAACCCCCAGGCAATAAATCTTCCTCTCCCCTCGGCTGCAGGAGGATTTCTAAGGGCAGCAGCTGCAAAGCGCGGCCAGCGGGGTTATGAGGGCTCTCCCCGGCTGTGCATCCCCCCAGTGAGGGGATTAATTTGGCGGGGGCTGGCTGTCAGCTGTGGGAAACGTCATTAGCAGGGCACAACTTAAACCTGGGCCGGCCCGGGTTCATTATTGCTTCTTTACAAGTAAGGCGGTTTTCTCGGTTCTTTAGTGGCTTTTAGCGGGTCAGTGCCGAGCTCATCCCGAGCAGGTTAAAGCCCGGAGGGCCCGAGGGGCAGCGCCCGGAACGCGGCTCCGGCACGGCACGGCACGGCACGGCGGGGCGGTGCCCGGCCCGGAAGTACCCGGGGAAGCTGCGCAGGACGGCGGCGGGGCGGCCCGGCCCGGGTAAACAGCTCCGGTGGCGGCGGTGAGTGTTTGTGCTGCCGCCGGGGCCCTTCGGCGGCGGAGGGGGCAGGAGGAGGGCAGGGCAGGGTAGGGCTGCAGCCGGCCGGCGGCGTTTCGGGGGGGCTCCTGCGGCCGCGGTGTCTGCCGCGAACAAGCGGCTGGACGGAGGGCACCGAGGGACGGAGGGAGGGCTGGCGGCGGCGTTGCTGAGCCGCTGGGAGAAGGCTGAGGAGGGAGCGTGAAAAGGTGGAATTGCCGGCTCGGGCCCTGGGGGTTTGCGGGTTTGTCAGGGGGACGCTGTTCCCCTGCCGGCGGGGGCAGCCGGGGCTGCGGAGCTCGGCGGGGCAGCGCTGTGCCGGGGCCGGGCTCCTGCGGTGACAGCCCGCAGCCGCGCTCGGGTGGTGCCCGCTCCCCCGGCTCCAGGGCCCCGTTCGTCAGCTCCTCCTCGTCGGAACAGGCGGTACTTTGGCTTTTCTTTATCGGTCTGTTCCCCACCCACCCTGGGGGACTATGGCTCTAAGTTAAAAAAACCTCTCAGATAAGTGAAAGTCCCCGAACTTGGCTTCTCGAGAGATTCCAAACTAGCTCTAATCTTTCAAGGTCTTATGCCAGAGTTACATGGAATATGTATAAAAAGAATGCCCATAAATACTGGAATTTATAGGTATTCTCTGAGGCTGTGTTCTTCTTGTGATGAAGTTTATAGGTTTAACAAGAATCCTTGGCTATTATTTATTCTTGGAGCCCTTGCAATGGTACAGATGTCCCCTTTTATTCCTTTTCACTCTGGGTGTGAACTGCTTATTAGTTGTGTTCCTGCAGCAAGGAGTTAATCAGTAAATGTCATGGCTAAGGATAAATTCTAGGACAATTTCATTTACAATTTAGTCTATGCTGACAATCCAGAGCCTTGCCCTGGTGTGTTACTTTTTACCAAGGCCTGTAAGTGACAGGGCAAGATGGTCATAAATTGAAAGAGGGTAGGTGTGCATTGGACACAAGGAAGAAATATTTTTTACAATGAGAATGGTGACACTGGAACAGGTTGCCCAGAGAAGCAGTGGACAACCCATCCCTGGGAATGTTCAAGGTTGGGTTGAATAGGCTTTGAGCAACATGATCAGTTGAAAGATGTCCCTGCCCATGGAAGGAGGGCTGGACTATAAAATCTTTTTAATTCCCCATCCAACTCAAGACATGTTATGAACGTGGGTTTTTTGTTCTAGATTGTTTAAAATTAATTTTCTTGTTCTTTCTTAGTGCCTGCTACTGTGGTTCTACTTTCCTTTTAATCAATAAACCAGAAATTGTTAAGTTTTTTTTTCTTTGTATTTTTTTTTTTCCAGTAAAGAAAACCATGTCAGGAAGAACATCATCTTCAAGTCACACCAGTGTAAGTATTCCTGAAATTTTCAACATTTTATTTTGAGGCTGTGGGTATCCTAGGATGTTCTAATGTGTTTGCACAACCAAATTCATTCTTCACTTTGTTGGAACATGCTTTCTTGGGAAACTGTTGTTGTGGTAGCAGTCAATGTCTACTGTTGTAAATTTATTAATACATTATAGGCTTAGCATTTGATTACACATAAACAGGGTGTTTTCCAAGTTATTTTAAGACCTAGACTAACACCTAAAATTTTAGAGTAATTTGAAGTAAGTAGAACACCTGCAAAACTGTGTAAAAGTTGGTTGTCTGCAGAGATGTACTCAGAGGCTTCTTATGCTGGTGTGGTCTTTTTCCTAAAATATTCCTGTTAGAAGCAGTTTCTAGCACTGGGAGTACTGATGAGAACAAATGGTAGACATAGGAACAGGTATGATTGGGTGAGGTCTGGCTGATCTAGTGGTTTAGAAATAAGCTGTTTCCAGCACTGTGTTTATGCACTTTCTCTGGCCCTTGCTTTTACAGGTGGGAACCTTCAGGAAAGTATTGCTGATTTAGATGAGTCTGCCGAGTGCGTATGCACCTGTATGTGTAGAGTTAGTCACTTTTTATTTGGGAAAAGCTGAGGCAACTGCATACCTTGTGTTTAGCATAGATTCAGACCTCTCTTTGCCTGTTGACTTTGTGCTTGCTCTATAAGTTAATTGTGGGTGCTGTAAACCAACATCTTCTTAATGTGTGCAAGCATTGGGAAGATGCTGTGTTGTGAGCTGGAAATGTTGCTGGCTAATGTATCTTGTGCTTTTTATCCCTTTCTGTCAGTTGTCTCTTTACTGAGTCTGACTTTATCTGTACTTAATGGTGTCTGTTATGTCATTACAGAAGTTATCAGAACCTCTTTAATTTTAAATGTATGTTAAAATTCTAGGTAACTGTGTGTTCTTTGGAATCTCGTAACAGAAGCTGCTAGTCAGGCAGCAGGTGGAGGTCTGAAGTAAGAAATCTGTTCCTAGCCCTTACAGTGCAGATCAGAAATACGCATTCTGACTGATAAACATGTTTATAGGCCACTTCTAAAACAAAACCAACCAAACAAATTTGAAGCAATCTACTTGTAGAAGCTACTGGATAAGAAAATATCTTGTTTCAGTCCTTCCATGTTGTTTGAAAAGGGAGGTGCTTGTCTGAGAAGTTATTGCCTGTGTGTGACATCTGTATCCTTTAGAGTTTGAAGAATCTGATATTAAAGGAGTGTTTGTTATAGTGTTTGACCATCAAAGGAAGGCTGAGACACTGTATAAAAATTTGGATCTAATTACAAAAAACTTTAATCTTAGATTCAAAGAAGTGTAGAGGAGTAAGAGCACTCACGATTCAGACTGAAGGATTGAAATATTATCTCATTATGGTGCAGCATGTTTCCTTATGGTCTGTCTGAAGGACTACCTGCTGATTTAATGAATGCAGTTAAAGTGCTAATAATTAGGTTGTTAGAGTCACTGTTCTGGAATCCCTGCTTGTAATTTCATGTTACAATGCAAGGCATCTGGTGGCTTGCAAATCGAGTTCATAGGATGCTTTACAGTGTCCATCATATGGAGTAGCTTCAGCTTTTTCCTGCCTGAGCTGGATTCGGTTGTCTGAGAGGTGTAAATGTTGCATTCCTTCTCTGATACATTCTCATCTGGTTGTGTTTGCAATGTGAGGTTTTGCTTCTCAGGATGCCTGGAGCAGTAGCAATGCTTGCACTTTTATTCTTTCAGTTGATATTTTAACTGGTTTAATTAGCTGATAGGAAATATCATCCTGTTTCCTTGTCTTATGAACTAGTACAAATTTATTTTGATTATTTCTTGTTTGATTTTCAATGAACAAACCTTCTTTTCTACATATAATTTTTTTCTGAACTGGTGAATTCATGTGGATTACTAACTGCTTTCTCTTTCAATAATTACTTTCAAAATGCTGTCTCCATTTCTGTGGGAGTTGGCAATGACAATAGCTGATACCATTTTGAGAACATTAAAGTCTAATGCTAAATTATCATACCAAAATACTTGTACTATTATAAGATGTACATTTTGAGAACATTAAAGTCTAATGCTAAATTATCATAAGATGTGATTGTTTTTCATCCTGAGTTTTTTTCTTTTGAGAAAGCAAACCTGGTCATGACATTCAATTATTCAGTTTTCTCTTTGTCATTCTCTAAGCTGAGACAGTTAAACTAGTGTGTAAACAAATTAGAATGAACCAAGAAGACTGTGCCAGTGCATTGGTTGTCACTTTTTTGTCACCTTGGAAGACATAAATTTAGTGAAATGGAACTTTTTCAGATGGTTTCATGTGTTAAAACTAGCTCATCATGTGATATGACACATGATTTGGGATCAGGCTTTAATGAAGAATGCATTTCAAGTAAAGTCGTAAGTCAGGGCTTCCCTTACAACTTTATTTTGCCCAGTTAAGATAACAGTGTACATGGAGGTATGTCAGCTGATAGCACCAGTGGATAATTTAGTTTTACCATGTGTAACATCATCTATTTTCAGTTTCGTATACCAAAGAAGAAAACAAACACCAAGTCAGAGGATGTCCAAGTTCAGTCCCCTTTGGCAAGGCTCCCAGGCTCCCACCATTGTGACTACCCTTTAAAAGAGGTAAAGAGAAGCTCTTCAGAGTGTAAAGTGTGTAGGAGAATGTTACATGAGGTTTTGCTTTAGTTGTGGAGACAGGTTTTTTTCAACACCAAGTGCTGCCTTGTGACCACTGACTTGAGGGAGGCAAGTGTGTTTGCAAGCATATATTTACAGAAATGGGAGTCTTAGTGCCATGTTTCCTAAATCATTGAAAAGCAGTTTATCTTTGGGTGTAGTTTGAAACTGTCTTGAAAATCATTCATTTAAATGTAAATATGGTATTTAATTTTTTTTAATTAGTTGTCTTCTGACTGCTGAACTTTTAGGTTCTATTCAGATCACTTACCAAACTTTTTTCTATATGAAAATAACACTTACATTGAGTTTTTCAGATATCCAAGAACTTAAGCTTTTAAGAGAATATATGAAGCACTCTATGACTCTTGGCAGAATTTTAGGTGCTAATACAAAAATAACTGTATTAAGACCAAAAGACTGTAAGAGTCTTATGGCACTTATCATAACTGAGTGTCTGGATCATCTCAGTCACATATAGAAGCAAATACTTGCCTCTATAAATCTTTTCCAAATTTCATAAGCATTTCAAATGTCAAGTGTCGGAAACATATTTTGCTGCACTTGTTTCCTTCAGCTCAGCATCCAGAGTTTGTTGCTGGCTTTAGTGCTTTCAGAATCGTGGGCCTGGACAAACAGACCTCCTCCCCCTCAGAGGAGTTGAAAGGTGTAGTGAGGGAAGGTAGGAATTTTTCTTGACTTACAGTAGCAGTGGTAATGTGACCCAGGTCTCTTGGTAGGCCAGGTCACTTGAGAATGCTGCAGTAGAGACTCTGTGTGGGGCTGTGTTCTGTACTGGTAATGCTTTCAGTGAGCAGAGCCTCCAGTTGCAGTCAGGTTTTGAAATGGGAGGTAGTGTCTCCTGTGGCTACAAGAAGCAACCTGTTGGGCAGATTCAGAGAGCACTTGTGTGGAGTTCTTGCTGTATTTCTCTCTGCCTCTATAAAAATTGTGATTTGAATGGTGAATTGAAAAATACTTTATTTCCTTGTTATTTCCTGGGTGTTGTCTAATTTTCTATTTCTTATTTTTCCTACCTATGTCTGTACATATTTCAAACTTTCCCATGTATTGGGCGATTTCAAATGCTTTAAACACTGCCTAGTTTTTATGTTCTACTTTAAAAAAACTTGGTTGTGAGTTGTCAGAGTTTGCACCATGTTGTTTGAGAAACATTGCGTGGTTTTCAGTGATTTGGATGTGCTTGAACACCAGTGGTATGAGCTGAACTAGATGGTGTTGAAGGCAGGAAAAGGGAAGAGCCCAGTCAGGTAGATTTCTTGCTGCCAACTTCAATAATGGGTTGTTTTGCATTAGAATTAATCCCTATGGTAGTGGAAAGTTTGATTTGGGATGCACCTTTCAGACTTGAATAAAGTTTGTAGAATATGCATGGGCATGAACTTTTCAGATGCCCTTTCAAACCACACTTAGTCAAAAATGAAGATAAGTTTGTCTGCTTTCAGCCTGAGTGCCATAATTTTCAAGCATCTCTTGGGTTTGTTAATTAATTTTCTAATTAATTAATTTTGAATTTTAAGAAATTGGGAAGATTAGAAGGAGGGTTGGAGGGCTGGAGGTTTCTGGAATTGCAGCAATGTTTTGAATTGCAGCTATGTTTTGATGGGGTTTCTTTTATTTAATTTGAAAATATAAGTACTTTCTGGTAAGATAAGGGAACATGGAAAAAAATTAAGTCTTGCTGTTCTGGGGTTTGCCACCTAAGTTCCAAACCTTCAAATTGCTTTTCCTTCTCAGAATTTTATATGTTTTATATCCATATTGTAGCCAGCAAAATTTGCCTAAGTGTACAGCATTAGCCTTTACTTTCTGAATCTTCTATATTTGTGATTATGTGGAACAGGCCTAATATTTAAGTCTATGTTTGCTATAGTCCCTCTTGAAATTCGGAAACAATGGAATTATCCTGTATATTTCTTCAAGAGAAAAAAGTTCTGTTCAAGATCAGGTGGTATGTGGATTCTTTAAATCAAGCAAATTAATTATTTGCAAAATTGCTGTTTATGATCTTCATAACTTTGATATATTTGGTCAGTTGCATTGTTTCAGTGTCCCATTTTTCTAGTGCATTATCCATTATGACATAATCAGATTTTTTTAAATCTGCCAATTTTGTTTTGTTTCAGTGGGGATTAAGTGCCAACAACAGAAAGCCTTCCACAAAAGGAAAAAGGCAAAAAGATTGCAACAGACACAGCTCTAATGATGAAGAATCAATTGGGTAAGAAAGCATCTCAAAATTAGTTTATCTCTGTTTGCATATTCAGGGTTTTCTTGAAGATGAGGGTCTCTAGCTAATTATTTGTGTCATGCAGAGATGATTTTCAAGCTGTTGGGTGGCTCTCCTTCAGGGAATCATGCTTCAGTGGTCTAATGGCAGCTGTAACTTTTCCTTTGTGTAATCTCAGCATAGGACCTGACAGAGTGAGAGTGCTTACTAGAGGAATTACTGCTTCTTAACCTGCTTGGAGTCCTGAAAGGTGTTCATTACTCCCGAAGTGTAAACTGTCATTCTAGCCCTAGATATCTTTAGATATGTAAGAAGCTTCCCAGAATTCTTTTTCTCATCCTGTTATTTGTTCTGTAGCCCACACTCATTAGCCTAAGCTTTACCAACTCTTTAAAACAATTAAAATATCACTTAAACAATACGGTGATTAGTAGTGGAAGGAAGAAAAAAATAAAAAAGAGAGCTTTTTCAAAATCTCTGTGTTACTGTCAAGGCACTAAGTAATTAAGACTGCTGATATGCCACTTCTTTCTCTGTTGCCAAGAGCAAATATCTTGGGTTCTTTGAGATTATGGCAAATTATTGATATGCTATTATAAGATAAAATCATCATTTTCAGAGTTGTCAGCTACGTAAATGTTTTATCCAAGAAAATTTTGAAGCTGTAATTTCTGCAGTTGACAAATGGAAATAAAAATGCAGGACTAGATTTATTAGCAGGAGCTGGGAAACAATGACTTTGTGACAAAATGGATATGTTTGTCATAATGAAATAGTTGCTATTCCCCAAGTCACTTAATTCTAAATAAATGAATAAGCATTCTCTGCCCTTGTTTTCTGACTGCAACTGAACTTGCCTATAAGTGGTTTCTTATCAGGAGTAGCTGTTAAAGTGTACAGGTAATGAAAATGCAGGTTATTTTGACACTGCTGAGTTCTGTAGGTTTGTGGTTTACAAATAGCCAGCCATTGTTTAGCCTGGTTTGTATATTCAGAATGCTTCAAAGTGTTGCAGGGAAGAGCTGAAATTGTAAAAGATGCTGAGTTTATTTTTCATACCTCCTCAGAAGCATAGCTGTCAGTTTACATGCACTTACATCAAAAAGCTTCTGTCAGTAACTTTTAACAGGAAACAGCTCACAGGGTCAACCTAACAGAATTTAATTGCAGTTTCCTGAATATTATTTATATTTTTATATGGTTGATATGTGACATCAAGCTATCAATCTCTAAAAGTCTTTCAGTAAACTTTGAACTCATCTTGAAACATTGAGAAGTTTGGTTTCTTTAAAGCTACCTTTAGATCTGTCGTGTATTAATTTTCTGTTTATTTCAATATGTAAGACACTTTCAAATAGCATTTATAGGCGTTCCATAATTTTTATGCAAATTGTTACCAGCACAATAGTGAGAAATTTTTTAGACTACAAAGAGACAGCAAGTATTTAGATATTAAGCATGTACATTTTTCAGTTCCTTGAAAAAAGATGTGTTTCTAGAGACTAGCTGGAGCCTATCTGTAAAGTAAATCTACTCTCCTGTCTGCAATGAAGCTTGTGCTAAGTGTTCCACTTGGGTACTCAGTTTTTCTCAGTAAGTCAGATCAACGTGGGGACTCCATTGTGTAATAAGTGGAAAGAGCACACAGGTTCTGAAGAGGTGGTGGTGTTTGTTGAGCAAGAGTCTGAGAACTGACAAAACTATAAAGAGGAAAGAGTGAAGTTTTGTGCTGCAAGTCTTTCTGATGCAGCAGTTTTTATTCCCAGTGGGGAATTTTTAATTTGCATTACAAAGTAGGAAATGAGTCTTAATAACAAACTCCTATTAGCTCCTGGTATTTTAAAAGCAATCTACTTTATTGATAGGAGCCAATTTCAGATGTTTAGGGAGATGTGTTGCTTCAGGACTGTTACTGCCACCTAATTTTAGTCATAAAGGACAAAGTAAATAAATTAGCACAAGCCTACATCTTCACATGGCTTTTTTATCTTCTGGATTACAAAACTTGGTAGTCAATTGCTTCTGTCAGTTGTGCTGTGGTGTGAGATCCTGGGGGTCTGCAGCTGCTGTCACTTGTACAGCTCTGCTCCTGGGCTTGTGAAAGATGAGTGTCAGGGGGTTTGTCTGTGATCCCAGAGGGGGCTCCTGAGGTAGGTTAGTTCCCTAGATAGAGGGGAGAGTGGAAGCAGTACTTAAGATGTGTGCAGTTCCTTCAGGTCAAATGAAATTTGACATATCTTTAAATGTTCAAGTGAAATACATGTTATGGCTGAATCAGGTACTGATCCCGTTGCAGTCAGGTTTTTGTGGCAATCATTTACATACTGGTCCCCCTTGCCCTGACAAGTGCATCTGGTCAGTAAGAACCTCCAAGTCCAGCAAAGCAGGGAGGTTTGTAAGGATGTTGATGTTTGTTGTTTGTGAGTCACTGACTTCTGATCAGTTGGTGAAAGGTGGGGACCTTGAAGCTGAAGGAGGACAATCAAAAGGTTTTCTCACAACAGAGTTGTCAGTGAATGTATCAATCAGAGATTCCCGTTAATGATAGTGTATCATATTATGCCTTTGTGCTTAGAAAGGTCAAGGAGCTCCTGGGCTGTGCATGTGCTGCAGAAGCTCAGATAGACCTGATGTGTATTCAGCTATCAGTGGCTTTGTCCTATAAACACAGGACAGACCCTCAGCTTGTAGACCTCAGAGAGCTGAGGGAACAACCTTCAAACCATACGTGACATCCCCTGCCAAAATATTTCTGAGAACTTGGGATTATTAGTAAAAGAATATAACCATGAAGACAGTGGTGTAGACAATTAATAGTAACGTAATTTAGTCCCAAATGAGCCAATAGTCTCCTTGCTTCATTTTGATCACTTTCTAATACAAATTGAAATGAATTTGAGACAGCAGTTCCAGCACTGGTATGTGTACACAATATTAGGTAGGAAACTATATCAAATAGCCGTGGCTATTGTGTGAAATAGAGGTCAAACATTTTTCCCCAAAGAGCTATAAACAATAGCTTTTCTTCCTGTGGTTTATAAAGTAGGATAATTGTTTTATTGCCTATGAAAAGCAATATGACACTTGTCAGGAGCAGCTAACAGCATTTTTCATAATATATTTTTTGTTTATTCCATCATTACATGCATAACTATGTTTTCATTACCTTTGCTTTTGTATTGTTTTTCAGTTTTGGGGAGGTAGATGAGAGACTATGGTAGGTATTTGTTTTAGAAACAGAAATAATTGTCTTTGGTTTTCCTTCACCAAGATGCCTCCAGTGTTACTGTTATGCAGATTACTTGCTGGGTCTGCTGGTGGGACTTGGTTTTAACATATACTTTGCTTTTTTTCTGTTTGACAATTGCTTGAATCTTTTGAAATGTCTTTTCCTTGAGTTGCTCACTTTATTCTGTGGACAATTTAACAGGTAATTTAGGGATCTGTGTCCCAACCTTTGTTTACAGATGTATGGGCTGGCTTAGGTTTAGATGTTTCACTGAATCTGTTGTACTCCCAGTCTTAGTGACATGATTTTCAAGAAACACTGCCAGAGGCCATACTCCTTTTAGAAAGGGAAGCCATTGAAAGCTCTTATGCTCCTCTTCTGCTCTGAAGGTTTGGTCATAACTAGTTCAAAAACTTCAGTCAAAACCTGGTGCAAGATAGGAAGTGATGCCTTGGCCTGGTGCTGACAAGTGTATACCATTGACTTCCTGGTTTGTTGAAGGTTCTTCTCCTTTGCATAGAATTCCAGTGCAAAGCTTGCTTCATGGTATGTGTGTGTGCTTGAAATTATAAGATCATTTTTGCTAAAGTACTTGCCTAAAATCTGTAAACCCCATTTAAATCAAGAGAATGGGGAACATTACAAATTCAGTTCCAAGTAGCTATCAGTAAACCAAATTATATAGGAACCTGGAGTCTCTTAAGGTCTAGCCTGATGGGTGAGGAAAGGATGTCAGACCTGGATTTTCAAGGTGGCCAACAAACTATAGGTCATGAAGTTCTGATTCTTTCTCCTTTGCCTCCTGCTGTGGACTTTTTCTGTCATTGTGTTGTTTAAACACTCAACATTGGAATATGTTCTGATATCTTTACAAGTCTTGATCATACATGGTCACAGTGTCTTTATTTTAATTATGTGCTCCCACTGGACTAATTAACTTGCTGTTTGAGGCTAAATTTAGTAAAATTCCATTGTGATCTCATGTGTTTGAGAAATAAAAAGGAAAAAATACATAATTTCTGTGAGGTGGAACAATGAAAACTGAAAGAATTGAGATCTGGGAAATTGATAGCCTTGGTTGGTTTTAGTCAGGAGAGCTGAAGTGTTCCATAGAGAATAGCACATTTATGTTGTCTCATGATCCCCTGCAATAATGGTTTTAAACCACATTTTTCAAGAAGCAATTTTCTGGTTCACATCTGCATATTGCTAGGGCTTACTTCTATGACTGTTTTCTGTTTGGAGGAAAAAACATAATTTAGTTACTTTAAGGTTTGATTTTTAATTTTGAGTCCTTTTGGAGGAGGAGGGGAAATAGCTTAGTCTTTCATTGTATCATGTGTTCTGGCATCCCATGAGCTGAAGTGACTTCAGTTCTTTAGTCTTCAGTAATTGGTCCTATAAAGTAGTTTGGGTGCCTCTTGTCTTTAGGGAAGAATTTTAAAGCACAAGAATGAATGTCTAGTTTCAAAAGATAACTTGTACAAATTTTCTTTGTGAATTCTACCTTGAAATTTTCCTTAATTGCTTCAGTTTCTGTAAATTTTCTTAACACCCCAATAAGTTGTTGTGTAGCTGAATTTTTTAACTGATCATGTTTCTTAGATATATATATTCTCTAATTCCTTAGGTGCTGCTTATTTATTTCTTATTTCTAATATACATTACAGTGGACAAACAACAAATGATGTAAAGTCTGGTTGCTATAAGCTCTTCTGAGGTATTAAACTGTGGTTTCATGTGTGAGCTCAACATTGGAGAAGTCCAGAAGAAAGCCAGAACTTCTGATTTAGTGGGCACTTCTATAGGAAAATGTCTTGCTTCCTGTGTTGAATCAAGAACACTTGCCAGATTGAGATGTGCTCACTAAGCTGCTACAGTTGAGCTCTACCATTTAAGACATTAATGTTACTAAACTGACCCCCAGGACGTGTGTTGACTTTATTTTTTCAGTAATTAAAGCCTATCTGGAAATAAAACTCCAGTCTCTGGATCCTTAGAGCTTTGAACAAGCCTCTCTGACATCTGCAGTATTTGAGGCATGTTCATGGAACACTTTTTTGCATTAGCATTCATAAACTGTATCTAGAACTAGATGAAAGAAAAGAAAGGGGAAAGCCTTTTCCAGACTGCATAAAACATTCTGGAGCACTACTGTACTTTAGGTTGGTATTCAAGTGAGACTGTCTTTGCACATGTGACTTTTTATTGCCTTCTCAGAGCCAATGTTTCACTTGATAAACCCTGGATTGTTTCTCCAACAGCTAATTAGGACCAATCTGTTACATAACACTTTGTCCTGTGTCCATGTCTTTGGCATCAGAGTGCCTTAAATGGGTTTTGGGGTTCTTTTTTATTGGTGGCTTTTCTTTTCTTTGTCTTTTGAGATAAAGCCTTAGCTCTTTTCCATCAGTTTTTCTTTGGCAAACTTCTGATAGAAATTCAGAGATAAAAGGAAACTTCTTTCACTTGAGCTTAAGCTACTTAGGTTTGAAAAAGAGCCATGGAGGTTTATTGTGCATTGTCTAGATAGAGGTCTCTAAAGCATGGTGTGAACAAGACAATTCACTGGGATACAGGAAGGAAATCTTTTTGTACAATTACTAAATATTTATATAATCTTTGTGTTCCTTTTTAAATTTCAATTTCTGTGTTTTATAATCATGGCATTGAGGTTGGAAAATACCTTTAAGATCAACCTGTCACTAGCACCTCTCTGTAGATTTTAATTAAATGACCTTTGTAGAAGGTACATGCTCAAAATACTTACTGCTGTTAGGGATGTGTGGTTAAAACATTTTGGAGACTGCTGGTCTCAGAAAGGCGTAGCAGAGCTCTAGGAGAAAGCAGCTCATGGCATGCACGTTATGGCATTCAGGGCTGCAGAGATCTCATCAGGTTGACAGCCATCCACAGCTTATGGGCAGGTTGTCCAAGCTGTGGGTGGGAACATTTGTCTTTTCAGGTTCAGTGAGGGAGTATATGTCTTGTGAATATAGTAAGTAACTAGGGAGATGAAATCTCAATGTCAAGATTGAAAGAGAAAAATAAAAGGCTTATGTGGAACATCTGCCCACAGTTCATTGTGTTTCACTAGCATGGCAGTTCCAGACCTTATTTTAGGTTCAAGCATGTCTGTTCTTCAGCAACAAAAACTTTCCATGCCATACCTGCATTTGCCACTAGGTACCATGTAACCAGACTGCTGAGCTGAAGGCAGCGTGTCAGTGGGACAATTACAGCTGCTTGCAGGTAAACCTGCTGAGGAATAGCAGCCCTTTGCTTAAAAAATGTTACTATAGCATGTGTGTATGAGCTATATGAGTAGTAAGGTTTTTTCCCATAGCTATTAAAAAGAGACTTAGTCTACAGTGAGAAGAACTTTTATTTGTTGTGCAGTAAGAAAAAAAACCAATTCTTGCTTCAGTAATCTTTAAAGCCCAAAAAATTATCCTGAACTTCAGTGTCTTCATAGGACCAGCTCTTGGAAAACAAGTCCAGTTCTTAGAGGTTTGAAAATAAAATAAATCCTGACAAATCTATGATCTATAATGCCTATCAGCTTATAAATAAGTTGAAGTCCTGCCATTAGGTCGCAGTCACCTTATGCAGTACTACAGGCTGGGAAAGAGGAGCTGGAAAGATGCCTGATGGTGAAGGTCTCAGTTTCACTGGTCAACAGCAAGTGAAAATGGGCCAAAGTTTGCCCAGGTGGTCAAGAAGGCCAGTGGGACCTGGCCTGTGTCAGCAGTAGTGTGGCCAGCAGGACCAGGGCAGTGATTGTCCCCCTGTACTTCACCAGTGGTGAGGCCAGGGGTGCTTGAGTGCTGTGCCCAGTTCTGGGCCCCTCATTAAAAGAAATATGTTGAGGTGTTGGAGCAAGTCCATAGAAGGGCAGTGGAGATGGTGAAGGATCTGGAACATAATTCCTATGAGGATCAGCTGAGGGAGCTGGGCTTGTTCAGTCTGGAGAAAAGAGGGTTGAAGGAAGACCTTATCACTCTCTAAAACTGCATGAAAAGAGGTTGTGGCAAGGTGGGTGTTGGTCTCTTCTCCAAGAAAACCAGTGACAGGATAAAGGGACATGTACTCAAGTTGTGCCAGGGAGGTTCACGTTGGATGTCAGGAAAAATTTATTCACTGAAGGAGTGGTTAAGAACTGGAATAGCCTGCCCAGGGAGGTGGTGGAGTCACCATCCCTGAAAGTGTTCAAAAGCAAGTAGACATGGCACTTAGCAGTATGATTTAGTGGGTATGGTGGTATTCAGTTGAAGACTTGTTATCTTGGAGTTCTTTTCCAATCCTTATGATTCTGTAAGAAAACTATCCAAGTTATGGGCCATAATGCAGGTTAATTTATTATGTGAAGACTTCAGTACCAATCTAGCAGAACTAAAGTATACTTTTTTAAAGAACTTCAGTAGGGCATTTTGTAATTCATAATTCTAAGTAATTTGTTTAGTGAAATTGAATAGAAATAGTTGGAGCTTTGGAACTGGGAGATTTGTAATAACTTTTTCCCCCCCAGCAAGATCATAATTAATCTGCCATATGGGAACGAAAAATATTCATGGCTTTAAAATAAGATGATACAAAATAAGTGCCTATTTTCATATCCTGCAAATGGTCAAGCATACGCTTTCAAAATATCTTGTAAGGCTATAGTGACACCACTTCCAACATTTTGTGATACCAAGATGCACCAAAATTTCCATTTCGGTGTTTCTTCACTGGAAGTTTATCTCTTCAGAATGGCGTATGGTTATTTTAATCATTCATGCCAGAAGGAGAAATCTTGAAAGGCTGCCCTGATCAAAAGATGAGTTTGTGATCACTCTTCTCCAAAGAGAACTGCTTTGTAAATTGCCAGGGAAGTGACCTTAATTCTCTAAGGTGTGATGCAGAGACAGTGAACTCATAGAATATCTTTGTCAAATTCATGTGACTTAAAAAGTTCTCAGCACCCTATTACTAATGTATTGTTGTATGTATGGCAGGCAACCCAAAGTTATCTTGACGAATGTCCTGAGGATGAAAATAGGAAGAAAATACACACAGGCGCAACCTAAAACTGGTGTTAATTTTTGTGATGCTGGCAAGCTGCAGTCAGATCAAGCACCCTCATCATCTGCTGCCAGCGTAAAGATATGGCAGCTTTTAAACCCTACTCTCCAAAGTCTTTTTCTGTCTAAAAGGTATGTTGTCTTTGCCTCATGTCACTAAACAAAATAATTTTCCTTGCAGTTATTTCTTCATGAGAAAGTGTTTGTTGTGCCACAGTTTCCTTCTTCATGGACTATGTTTTATCTCACTTCACTGAATTCACTTGTACCTGGTTCCTTTTGGTAATCATTGAGAGAGATGGTGCCAGCCATACTTCAGTGGTTTTTCTGATCAAATGGCTTCTAGATGGTCCTGTACTGTAAAGACAAATTAATTATGGTTTAGCCATTGGATTCTCAAAATGTTTGGCTTTTTTTTTTTATTCTCATGAAAAGAGTACACTTGAATGTGTACAATTACATAATTGCAGTGCTTTTCTAAGAGCAGATACCAAGGTGTATTCTCACTGTTACTGCTTTAGACTGCTTGTGAAAATAGGAAAACTGGCATAAATGAGCAGAAGAAAAGCATATCAAGTCTTATCTTCTTTGCAGCCCTGCAAGCAGTGGTCAATTGTAGATGTTCAGGGAAAAGTATGGCTAGACTGAAAGCTTTAATCTCTGGATTTTCTGTTGGGCTTCTGATGACAGTGTGTTTAGGGGCTTCTTTTATTGGAGCTTACATCCAGTCAACATGTTCTTCAGTATTTGAATTTTCATCTTTAAGTTGTATCTCTTAATTGTTTATCCCCTGTGGGTCTCTGCAATCGTATCTGGAAGGTAGCCTCCTGATGAAAAGCAAATTTACATCTTGGTGCAAGAGGAGATCTGATTTCCAGACATCACAGAGTCTGTGCTGGAGTGTGCTCTGTGCATGAACACAGACAACAGAACTATGCAGTCAATACCCAAAAGGCAGTGTTGTTTGACACATATTCAAAAAGGCCGTAGCCTTACAACCTAATCCAAAATAAATTGCAATGGAAGTGGTAGCATTTAAATCCCAGTCTGAGGAAGATTGATAGATATGAGCTATACAACAAGCTGGCTGCCATGACATTGTATGAAGTAAGTTGAGCTGCTCTGACACATCATATGCATGTTCAAGTAGGAGTTGCATCTTTATATTTCTGCTGGGCTTATTTTTGATGCTTGTCTGTTTTAACACCTGGGGGTATTTTTCGGGTCTTGCAATAGTGTAGAGTGCCACCTCATACTTAAGTAGTGGAATAAAATCTAATGCTACCTTTTGTGTACATGCTACTTTTCTACCTGTTCACTAAGTGCTTTAAAAAACTTGCTCTGTTTTACTGGAGGCTTCTTGTTCACAGGAAAATCAACATTGTTTGTTCCAGAGTTCGGACAAATATGTACAGTTACTGCATGAAAGCTGTTTAGAGATAAATATTTATCAATTTTTAACCTGCAGGATATGTTAGAGGCAATGCAGTGTACATAGACTCTGGCTAAGGTAAAATTACATAGCTACTTTTCTTACCTTTTGTTTACCTGGTTTCCTTATAGTTTAATGGGATTTTGTTGGTTTTGGTTGTTTTTTTGGGGTTTTTTTTTTGGCCTCTAAGGGACTAAAAATATTGATGTTTAATTATCAAGCCTCTAGGAAACATGAATTTAACAAGAAGCTTGTTTCTCTAGATTGCAGTGCAGTACTTATGATTTACTGTTATGTATGGCAGGCAACCCAAAGTTATCTTGACGAACGTCCTGAGTACGAAAATTGGAAGAAAGTACATAGACAGCCACGTAATAATTGATGCAAATTTACCTGCTGCAGACAAACTGCAATCGGGTCAACTACCCTCATCAGCTGTTGCCAGCCTGCAGACATGTCAAATATTAAGTTCTCCTCATGAAAGTTCTTTTCTTTCTGAAAGGTATGTTACTTGCTGCTGATTTTTGCCAGTCTTCCTGAAATGACATAACTTCACAATGGAAAAGAATTTCCCTGAAACAACTTTTGTTCTAGTCTTTTCTTGAATCAGGAGATCAGTTTCCTGAGTGCAAATTGACATGCTTCTCCAATGAGCCATTTTAACATGGTATTTGTTCTGGTTTGCTGGACCTGGTGTTAAAAGGCTACTTTTCTTTCATAAAGGAATATCTGCTTGCAGCGCATCACTGCTTTAATTTGGGAAGAAACACAAGTAATTCTAACACATCTAAGTTGGTTTTGTGTCCAGAACCAAAATCTTGCTTTGCTGTTGGAGTTAATGTGTTCTAGCATGATTTCAAATAACTTCTTTTGCAAAATATCTCCAAATATTTCTCTATGATAATTTCTTTTCACATTAACCCACTGGTGGTGTCAGTGTTCCTACAGGGTGGCTTTGGTTAAGGGCTATGTGTGTCCTCCTACCACTTAACATCTACTTTTCATCTTTCCTTCCTATATTTAGGTTGACTGAGCAGCATAGTAATGTTTGACATATAAAAACTAGCAGAAATCAGGTATTCAAATTAGGTAACGCCTGTTTTGGTCGAAGGTGGCAGTTGCATTCAAAGTAAGCAACTATGTTTTTCTGTTATGGCTACAACAGCAAATTTTCTGAAGGGAAATATAGCAGGAAATTCTGAGGAAGACAGTAGAAAGATAAAGAAGAGAAGAATGATGTGGGTTTGGTTTTTTTTTTGAAGGCAGGAGCAATTAAAAATTCCCAGGGTAAAATTGAGAAAAGTTAGTCATATTCCTCATTCTGATACATCAACATTTTAGAGAACTGAAATTAATAGCAATTTTTTTTTCCTATTGAGTTGTCAATTGCTGCGTAAATTAACCTGACAAAGCTGCAATTTAAGTGAGATTTAGAGAGAACAGTTTATTAGGCTGTCTCATTTTAAAACATATTTTTTGCTAATAATTTTCTGTGACTTAAGGCTGGCTGAAGTGTGGGGTGTTCATTTGAATTTAGGTTTTTGTGAATTTAGATTTTTGGGGTTTTTATTTTGCTTTATTGCAAAATAAGACTAATTTTTAGTATCTGATTTTTTTAACTTTGTAAAGTTTGGATGATGGGAGGTAGTGGATTTATAGAGAAGAAAACATCAACTCTTGTATTTAACACTCTAAATCTGAGGGTATATCTTGTATTTTTTTTCTGGCTCATATCTGGAGCACAGTATAATAAGCACAATAATGGTTTGAGCTAGTAATTTTTTTTTAGTAGTTATGAACTCAACTTGCTTTAGATTTGGAGTGGTTCATTGTTTGAATGATTAATATCCTCTACCTGTTGCATGGTTTTCTAATGTATTGTGTAAAAAGCTTGTTATCAGGAACCAACATTAGGATGACTTTTCAGCCTTCCCTAGTGGCTAGCACTTAAGTGCAATTTATAGTAGATACAATAAGGGAAATGGAGAACTGAGGAGTTATTTCAACAAAGTTATGGTTTGATCCTGCTGACCTGTCTGTAAGTAAAGTCAGTACATTACCTACACTTGGCACTGATTCCTTTGGAGTCTCTTCTTTGGAGGAGAATAATAAAAGCTCCCCACTTGTGTTATGCATATATGCACATGATCATACAGAGAGTCTTTTGTACCATCAGAGTGGCCAGAATGCATGCTTTATATTGCTGAAAATTGTGCTAGTTTTGTACTATGGAAATTTCATATAATGTTAAAGAATTGTGTGTCATCAGAACAGGGTGGTAATAAATTAACTTATCTCGACCAGCTAGAACTTACTGACAGTTCCCCCTTTCCACTCTTGCTCTTTATATTACAGAATTGGTGTATTTTTGTTGCTTTACTGCAACCCAGTGTGAAATGCACTTATTTAAGTGAGCACTGACCTGTCAGTATAACTAATGAATTTGTGGTAGGTTTTAAACGTAAAGAAACCCAGGGTTTTAAAGTGTTTACAGTATTTTCTTCTCCTGGTTGTTAAGAACACTTTACAATATGTATTGCCATAGCTTCATAGGTGTTGCATATATCTGCTAAGGAGTGCATTTTAAACTGAGTTATCAGCAAAGCTGGCATTGAAAATAAAATGTGCAGAATTTATGTATAAAGCAAATATGTTTAGGAAAATCTATTAGCTGAAACAGCCCTATTCAGGTGCTTTCTGTTGTTAAAATCCCTGAATTGTGATGTTGGTATAGAAAAACACTTGATTTTGTATGATCTTTTAAGACAGTCAACTCTATACAGCTGTTATGCATACAAGTATTTTAGTTGGGAGAGAAGTGTGGATTCCAAAACTAAGTTTTTTATATTGACCTTCCTAATCTATGTAAGACTGTCTTGTTCCATATACAGAATGAACGATGGTACTTACTGAAACTACTTCTGCATCTAGTCCAATTAGTGATTCTTTGAGTGGAAAGATAATCAGTAATTTTTTCACAGTGCTCATCACTGTAGTATTGGAGCACTTCAGGAATCTTTGTCTGTACAGAATTCCCAAAGAGCACTGATACTCCAGTTTACAGATAAGTCACTAAAGAGTAGTCATCTGCTCAAAAAGTGTTCAAAAGTTTTGGTTGTCCAGTTAGAGATGTCAAGAATGTTTTTTGCCACGGTGGGTGATGATTTTTTGGAGTCGAAGCTTGGCTGTCAGTGATATCGGGCATTGTGATGATCACTCAGCTGTTTGAAAATTTGGCACCACAACATTGAGTTGAACACATTATAAAATTATAAACACAAAGACCATTTGGATTAAGTATTGTAATTCTTTTCTGTTTCTTTCTTTCGATGTCCCATCCCTCTCCACCACCCTTAAAGTTACTGTTTCAGGCCCTTTTGAGCACGAATTTCTATTTCAAATAATTTCACATTTCAGGATCTTACTCAATGGATTCTATCACCAGTTCTGAATCTAAGTTAAGAATATATTATACTCTCACCATATTTATTACAAAGGCAATGGTAGTCAACTGACTGTTCTTTCTTTTTGCTGTGTTTCTTGTTCAATCATTCCTTAAACCAAAATAATGTTTCGGTGTCTGATCTCAAGCATGTCACATTCTCATACTGTGCTTTTTAGAAGCATCTGTTTCATTAATAATGTTAGAGTATCTGTGTATTGCCACAACTGGACTGAATTAATTTGTGTTTCATTTGGCAAGGTCCTCGTGTTTATGGGAGAGACAGAAGTTTCAAGTCTGATCACCTCTTGTTTCTGTTGGGATTTTTATTCAGAATTATTTCAAAATTAAAGATAAGTCATAGTTAATATATTTACAGGTCTGAACGTTGCTTGAGAAAGACAGATGATGAGCTGTGTAAATTGACCAAGGCTTCTAAGGAACCAGAAAAAATTAATGCTGTCACTTTCAGAAGAAGAGAGCTGCAGAAGAAAGGTTTGTAGTTAGCAGTCATCTGGTAGTTAAGTATGAATTTTGGAGATTGTTGGGATCTTTTCCTTTTTTACTCTAGTATTCTGAGGAGAGCACAGAAATAAATTCAGTGTTGCACACAGTGTATGTCTTTCCTCAGAATATTTTTTTTTACAGATACAGTAAAAATATATCAAATGTCTGGTTTTAAATAGGAATACAACTATGGTGAATCAAATCTGTGGAAGAAAAATGAGACTGAGTGCAGCTTCACTGCCCTGTTACAATCTTGACTTTTTGAAAAGTCATATAATAGAGAATGTAATCCATTAAGAATGCTCAAATAGTTTGTGAACCCTGCTAAAATATTCATTATAGATGATATTTATTTTCACTGCTGAAGAATTATGACCTCTGTGTACATTCTCCAGGGATAATGTGCTGTCTTTTTATGCTGGCTACTAACATTTGCAGATTAGAACAGGGAGTTGAGAATAATGCATTTGGCAGAAGATAAAGACTGTGGAGTATTAAGTGCTAAATCTTGTTTGGAAGGGAGCTATGGATTTGGTTATACCCTTGACTAACTATGCAAAAATAAGAATAATTTTAGGGAAAATGTTTTGGCAGCCATATACAATTAAAAAAGGCAAGATCTTACTGTGCAAAACTTATGATACCCACTTCCATGCATTTTATATAAGACATAAACAATATTAAGAAATGTAAAGATTTTTAAGGATAATATGTTAAATTACCTTTTTTTTTTTGACACAGAAAACAAGCGCTGTGGTGAACTGGAGAAGAGGAGCAGACACATGAGCAGCACTACTCTTAGTCAGAAGGAATCAGGTTCTTTTGATTCTGAGAAAAGGAAACGAAGATATAGTGGCCATATTTCTGATGATTGTAGTGCACACATTCCAAAAAAGTCACTTGCATTATCTGTAAGTTGCACTTAATTTTAGCACACATTTGCACACACTAACATAGCAGCAGTAGCAACATCCCAAATAAAAAGATTATGCCAATAAACAGGATTTATCATACAAGTATATTAGCAGGTATTACCTGCTGAGCTGAAGTAGTTCAGTGATGCATCACAAGGAGTGAATGAATGTTCTTCTGTCCACATCATCACAATGTCCTTATTGTAGCAGAAAGGTAGAGAAAGATGAATGACAGTGTTTCCTTCAGACAGGAGCATAGATTCAAACAGTTTTGAGAATAAGGCATCTAGCTAATTAAGTGAAGCTTCTTTCACAGGTGATGTAGAATTAGGGATTGATTAGGGGAGTTAACAGCAAAACTGCCAAATATACCTGAGGTTATTGAAATCTTTCTGCTTTCTCCTTAGTTTATTCTACTTTTCCCTGAAGTTTTGTTCTTACCCATCATTAGGATTTGAGAAAAACCCAACAAATAAGACTGAAGGAATCCATCAAGTACAATAAAAAATATAAACAATAAAGACATCTCTGTAGCCTTCTGATTTAAGTCCTACAGAGACAGGCAGTTATCAAACCTGTAAAACCCAGTTGACCAAGTCACACTTGTGCAAAGTAAGGAAAGCACTGATTATTGACCTCTGCATATCTGACACTGACAGAGTTGCTAAAAATCAGAAATAGTTCCTTGTTCAGTTTGAATAGCAGTCACTGTAGCCTTTTAAAAGGTTGTCCCTCGTGCCTTTATTTAATTATACTCTTTGGAATATGAGGGGGGAGAAATTATCCTGAATTGAGCATTAAATGTCACTGTATTAAGCTATAATTATTTTTTCTAGCACATAGCTAATATCAGTGATGACTGATCTGAACCATCTAGAAATGTCAAGTAATAAACTTACATCCTGTCTCTGATTCCTGTTTCTAGGAAAAGAAAAGTTTGAATTCAGCTCAGTCTCCTGGCTGCAGAATACCCTGTGAGGATGGACAAGATCACAGATCTAATCCTATTCTAGTACCAGACTGTCCAGCAGAGAGAGACTCTAAAGATCCTTCCACCCACAACCACTTGGGGCCTGCTCACAGCCACACAGAGGACTCTGCCTCAGAGTCGCCTTCCAGAAATTTGTCAAAGCAGCAGCTTTCTGCCACCAGTGGGGATGTGCTTTCACCAGAAGTTGGTACAATCTGGAAATTAAAGATGGACAAATCAGAGTACCTGACCAAGCTGCGGAACAGAATCTGCAGGGGTAATCAGCAACTTGTTTCCATTGACCCAAGTATGTACTGTGTCTGTGCTGATAACAATTCCTGGTGGTGCACTTAGGTACTAGGAGAATTCCAGCAGAGCTGGCTAGTGAGACATAGGGAAGAAAAGATTGAAGACTCCCCTCCTGTTGTTTTTAATGTATTGTGCAGGTTAGAGAACAGTGCCATGTGTCAGGCTGTTGTATCTGAGAAATAGGATGGACAGCAAGATTCTCGAATTCCAATTGTCTTTTTTCAGGTGATAGTGTGGCTATGGAAAAACCAAGCTTTTACTTTTTAATTATGCTAAAACTGAGAAAAATTACTCTCTTCTTTGAAGCAGCTGTGCTGTGTCTGGTTTCATTTAATAGCCAAATAATTTTGAGGACCTGGTATAAATGTGTTTGTAAAGATACAGAGCACTACTTGTTGTGTACAATTCCATGCAGGTAGATCTTGACTAGTTTGAGCAGTGTACTTTGATATGTACCACAAGTCAGAATTCTTTACTTGTCTGAAATCCACAAGGAATGAAATATTCACAAGTCTGTAATTTGTAGTATATGTATCTTCTTTTTTCCTTTTTAGTTATCCTTTCCAGTGATGATGAAGATGGACCTTCTGAACCGCAATGCACAGAGCTGATGAAGGATAATATCACTGAAAATAAAGAAACACACCAACAGTCTGACTTCTGTTTCTCAGCCAAGCAATTAGAAGACAAGATAAAAAGTCACACAGAGCAGGTAGTCCAGTTTTTGGCCAATGTATTGTTATGCCAATTTATTTCTGTAATGTTTGCTATAGAAAATGATTGTTTATCACCCAGCTACAAGCAGAAGCTGCAGAAATGTATTTCATAGATAGAATACTGGACAGTCTTCAGGGAATTTCTCTGGTTCTGAAGCTTGGGTGTTTTTGCTATACACAATGTATCTCCTTTTTGACAATAAACATTTGGAAATATTTAATTTCAGAAAACAGGAAGATCAAATAGTAACCCGAGGTAGAACAGACACGATAAAGATACATCTGTGGAAGAATTTGTTTCCACATGGTGTTGTATGTTGGTCATAGGTTTTTTTTTTGTCATTCAATCCTATATTGTAATTCAGGGTTTCTAGAAGTTCAGGATCTTTACTGACAGCAGGCAGAGATAAGGTGAAGTTCCCTTTCCGTTGGGTTAGCTGTAAAACTTGAATCTAAAAGTAGCCATAAAAGTTGTTTGCCACATTTTGGACTTTATTAGCCTTTGGCTGCTTGCTTTGCTCTGGATATGAGTTCTCTGTAATCCTGAAACAAGTCAGAAGAGCCGTTGCTGCCTCTTCTCACAGGTGAATCAATTCAATCATAAGCACTGAATTCGATCCTGAAGCTCTGCTATGAAAAGAAGGGTATTATTTTGTTGCTTTGTTGTTTGAGTTTTTACTAATTTAAAATCAAGTCAAGAGCACAGATTATGTCTTACTAATGGAGATGTAGTAGGGTACTGTTAGACCCTTAAGGAAATTGTCAGTAATGAATGTAATAACACTTAGAACTTTTTAATATTATTTTTTTATGTGAAAGCTGGCTTTGGGAGTCAGTTCTTACAACCGTGAAGAAAGGTATTCCTGAAGTTACAAGAGGGGCATATCTAACAAATAGAAATTTTTTCCAGTTTTTAACAGAGTCAATTGAAGATAAATATCCTCTCAGCTTACCTTCTGGAAGCACACCTAGAAAGCAGACAAACCTGGCACTGGATGTTGAATTTGATAGGCTACACATTGGGAAATTTAAGTGGTTATCAACAGGGCCTGCTCGGGTAAGTTGTTATATTATGCTATTTTGTGAATATTTAAAAATTAAAATTCTGGTTAAAAAAGTCAGTGGTACTTACTGTGGCAGCACAGTTTTTATTACTGTTGCATTAAATTCCTTTTGCTAAACAATGGAGTATGTCGCCTTGTGCATTTGGATTGCTGTCAGTATAAAAGGTAACTGTGATTTGCTGTGGCCACAGTTTTCACGTGTAAAGGTTCTGTATAAATGCTGTACTGGAACACAAGTCATACTGAGGAAGTTTTTAATGAATTCTAACAGAAAACAAGGGCCATATTAATGGCCAATTAATGTCACTTAAAATAAAGACCAATTACTTTTCTCAGAAATAGTAGTTGTGTTCTAATGAAGTGATACATAATGATCAGAGTTTAGATACATCATATGCCCTTGCCTTTTAAACAGAAAATTGCTTGCTTTGAAGCCAAATCTCTTGGCTTCAGAGAGCATAAATACAATACTAAAAGCTTTAGTGTGTAGACAATATGATAGTCACAGGGTGTAGAAACATAAGTGAAGATGTTCTTGAAATGGAGCACCAGCTCCAGGAGTTTCAACAGGTTCACTCTGTATATTGCAACTGAAAAAGATGTTTGGCCTTGCATATCTTTTGTCTTCAGTAAGACATCTTGAAGTCTTGGATTGTAATAACAATTTCAGCTTCTAACAAAACAGCAGTTACAAAAACATTTCATGGAAATATTCTAAATTAATAGGCAAAAATAATTGGAAATATGAGTTCAAATAAATTCAGGATCAACGTTCTTAAGTGTAAAGTAGAAATTTTCCTTGGGAAACACAACTTTGTGCCTACTGTGGTGTGCCACAGGGCAAACCTCGTTTGTTAATATAGAGAACCTTTTGTCAAAGTGACAGTAAAGCAGTGTGCAAGTGGACACTGTTGCTACACTGACAGTGTAGCAGCAGTGCAAGTGGAATCTTTTAAAGGCCTTTAATTCAAAGATTAATGTAAAGAAATACCAGCATAAAGTTGAACCACTTCTATCATGTCTTTACTTCAAGCAGTGCATCTGACAGCTTCTCACAGGTTGCTTTATCTCCTTCTGTCCCAAGTGTTTATCTTTTCTTTTTAAGGAACCTATAGGCAGTTCTGCAACTTTGTGCTTATTTTTGCATCTCTGAAAGTTACTTGCAGTCATTTAGCTTCTGCAATGCCTTTAGGAATGTTTTTAGGTGATATAGGCAATGTGAAGTCTCAAACTAAGCATATTTTACTTCAGCTTAATGGTGTTTTCCAAACAGAATGATCGTATTATTATTATTATTTTCAGTTTATTTCACTGTAAGAAAAGATGTGCAGATATTTAAAAATCCATATATTGTTTTAATCAATTTGTAAAATGCAAACTAATATTTTTTTAAAATCTTATTTCAGTTTACAATGAAAAATATTGTGATCCCATTTCAGGGTAAGAGAATTTTCTTTAGCCTTTTCTTAATTGTATCTTTAAAGTATTGCAGTAAAACATTAACTATGTATATCTGTTATGAATAATTTAGAATATTTCACAAAGATATTATATAGTTTTTCATTTTTTCTGGTTCGCAATAAATAAAATTTAGGTGTTCATAGTGTAAGCATTAACTTAGCAGCTTCTTGTACTTTTAAGGTGAATTTTTAGTTTTAATGGCATGCCTCCTATATTCCTGCATATTTTAGGTGTTGAACTATAGTAGATATGACTATGCATATTTTTGAGGTGAAACATTGAACTTTTCAAATTAGCATTTTAGATCCTTAGGTTTACAAAAATTTATGAGTAGACTAAAGCTAAGAGGAATGTAATGATAGATTTGCATTCAATTGATTTTCCAAGATGATGTATGGTAGGAAAAGGTTTATGAGCAGTTCTAAGTTGACTTGACTTAAAGGAAATAGGAATTAATGATTTGCAGTATTCTTTTTTCCATAGTTGTAGGTATTAACTGTGGTTATTTTGATGAAAAAGAGTTTTTTTTCAGGAAGAATCCTGCATGTAGGTGTTTAGATTTTTGCGTTACAGTTTGGTATCTTTGTTTTTCACGGCTTGATGTAACTGACTTAAATATTGAATTCTTGGTATTTTATGTAATGCAAGGAATAAAATCTGTAAATATTGTGTTAAAACACTCCAGTCATACCTCTCAGCATGTAATTACTGTGACATGTATTAGAGTATCTGTGGCTGTTAAGAGCATGTTTTTTTTAAATTCTGTTTTCTACAGTGTCTCTTAAGAACATTCAGCTTGTACTGGATACACTGGATCTGAGAAGATTTGGCTGGTGGAAAAGTGGTGGTGGCTGTTCTTCAACAATAATTTTTCTTTGGTTGTCTGTGGATTATGTAGAAAAGATTGAAACCCAGATGGGAAAATTAGTTACCAGCCAGCCATGTGAGTAATTGCTTTCCTTAAGTGCAATGAAAAGGTCATGGCAGCAAAACAGCTGTGTTTTTTGAATACAGAGGAAAGCCTATAGTGTTTTAAAGTCACAGAATCAGAAAATGCACTGAGTTGGAAGGATCATTGAGTCCAGTTCCTGGCCCTGCATAGCACCATCCCCGGGAATCACATCATGTGCCTGACAGCATTGTCAAAATGCTCCTTGAACACTGTCAGGCTGGTGCTCAGACCACTTCCCAGAGGAGCCTGTTCCAGTGCCCAGCCACCCTCTGGGTGAAGAGCCTTTTTCTAATATCCAATCTAACCCTCCCCTGACACAACTCAAGGCCATTCCTGTGGGTCCTGTCCCTGGTCACCACAGAGAACAGATCAGTGTCTGCCCTTCCTCTTCCCCTCATGAGGATGTTGTAACTGCAATGAGGTTTCTCCTCAGTTTCCTCTTCTGCAGGCTGAACAAGCCAAGTGATCTCAGCTGCCCCTAAAGACCCTTTACGATCTTTGTGACCCTCCTCTGGATGCTCTCTAATAGCTTAATATCATTTTTATATTGTGATGCCCAGAATTGCATACATGTACTCAAGGTGAGGCTGTACCAGTGTAGATAAGTTGGTTAGTTCTGCATTTTTAAAATGCTTCACGTACTTTTATTTGGAAGAAAACCCTCTAATATTATGTAATTACTTAAAAAACTACTGCTGCTTAATAAAAAGATATCAAAGCAATTTAATTGTAGTCTCTGTCAGAAGGCTTTCTGAAACTAGACTTGCATCTCTCCCTTTAAAATATATGGATGTGGTAAATATCCTTACTCTTGAATATTGTATATGCTATACAAAAGGCTTGGCAAATAAAGATTGGCTTGACCTTTGACAAGACTGCAATGAGACATTCCATTATTATTGAAGAAGATTTCCACAAAAGGCCAAATGGGCTGAATGTCTCTCTTTGCTTCCTTTATGTCTTTCCTTAAACAATCCTTTGGGATTCCTGTGCAATCCCAAAATACTCTTCCCCTGCATCCCATCATGTGTACTGTACACCTCAGCACCAACCCCCTCTCAGTCCAAAAAGTGGTCTGGCATTGAGTTATTGTGATGGATTTTGGGTCTGGACCCTTGGGCTGAGACTCTCCTGGGACAGCCCTGGGAAGGGCCCCGATGGTGTGTCTGTTGCTCAGTCTGTAATTTGGGTTCCTACCTTCAATTTTGCTGTGCTCCTCTGGGCCTGTGAAAGTGAGACTTCTGTGGGCTGATGGCCCCTGTGATGAACCTGGCAGGGCCATGATTGGGCTTCCCCTCTTGCCATTGTCTCTTAGTTCCTTTGGGGTGTTCAGACAAGTTTCTGTCACGTAATCTAATAGTTAATATTATCCATTCTCTCCCTTTTCTAGCCAAATCCAATGAATTTGTATTTTTTGAACTGTCTCAACCACTCACAGAATGGGAAGAAGACCGACTTACTGAACTGATTACAGGTGTCAGCAAGAGGAACAGAGCACCAGATCTTGCTGAATTTTTGTCTTTGAAGCAAGCATTACTCTTGTTTAAGGATCTTTCTCCTGAAGAAAGCTCTTTTGTGAGTTGCAATAAGGATCTACTAAAGCAATACATGCCAAAAGAGAATACCTCAGATGCTGATGAGCCTGTAATTCAGGTTAGTGGATAGCTATTGCTTCATTCATCACCACTGGTTAGCATTCACACATTTGATAGGTTAGCCTTCTTCCTTAATTCATAACTCAAAAAAAACCCCAGTCAGGATTACTCCAAAATTTGCAGTCAGCTAGATTGTGTCCACAGAGGACACAGAGGTCTGTAGACCTCATCAGTAAGTGGCAAGTACCAGTGCTTTAGATTGATTCATGGTTGTGTAAATTTAGAACCACAGGGGTGTTTTGCCCTTGTGGTTTCTCTAGGGCAGCAAGCAGGAAGTTAATCAAGTAATGAGTAATGGAACCAATTTTTTTGGTTGAACTGGAAGTGCAGCAGAGGAGGAGCTGTGTAGGTGGTCCTCCAGACACCTTTAGATGTACTTGTGGGGTCTCCACAACTTGAAAATGCTGAAGTATTCCTCAGACTGCTGGGGAGATGAGTCTGTACAAGTTAATGTGTTGTCTTGGTTTCATCTCTTGAGTGAATGTCTAAACCCAGCCCCGTGTCATTGTCACACAGAAATCACATGTCTTTGTTGCCACCAGTAAAAAGCCAAGAGACAGCCGATCAATCTGTAACATCTATGAAATTTGGGACTTTAAAAGGAAGCCAGCCAGCTCAAATATGTGTTGTTTTTAGGCAAATTGTTTGAGGACTAGATTTGCAAATCTTCCAAGCATATACAGCTCCTGGAAAGACACTTATCTCCATTCTTTTATGTTTCTTCTCCAAAACCATTTCTGGTTCACTTGGCTTAATAATGCTTGAATAGTTTTAGAGAGGTTGTTATGAACTAAGATCTGTCATTATTTTAAAAAATATTCATAACTTTTTAGTTGTCTGAACAATGGCATGTTTGCCCAAATACCAAAGTTTATACTTTGGATCTCCAGCAAGAATCCTCTTCAGTGATGCAGGGTGCCCAAATACCAAAGTTTATACTTTGGATCTCCAGCAAGAATCTCTTCAGTGATGCAGGATACTCCTGTGGTTTTTAGGCTTGGGTTTTGTGTCTTGTGTTTTATGTATCAACCTGTATAATGCTTTTTACAATTGTTTGTGTTCTTGTGGTAGGAACCAAAGCTAAAAGTGATCAGGCCCAGTTATGCCCTTGCAAATAAACAGAATAGTGGCTGCTATTGTATCTCTTTGTCCTCTGCACTGAATGAAGAATGGAAAGAAGTAAGAGAAATGGGAACAGTTAAGAAGTAAGTGCATTTAATATAAATGATAAAGGGAAACTATAAGAAATTGAATAAATTAATTACTGGAATAAAAGCCCTCACTTATCTGCCATTCTCTAGTTGATTTGAAAATGTATGAAAGTTACTCTTCATATCTAAAATATCAGCAAATATCAGTGTAGTTACCTGTTACAAGACAATATAGATGTGTTACACAATGACAGTCTTACAGAAATTGGAGTCAATCTGATCTATGACTTACAAGGTCATATCATGGGTGCATCAGCAGGGAGGGTGGAAATCTCATGGGTTCTGTCAGAATCCATTTAAGTTTATCTTAGAAAAACTTACTGATTTAAGCCAGCTTTTTATAAAATCTGAACAAAGTGTTCTTTTACTGTTCTGTCACACTCAATCTTTTTATAACCGTTTGTCCTCTAGTATTTCTTCACATTTTATGTAGCCATTTTTCAAATACTTTGATCAAAAATAGAAAAACAGGGTGAAGACAAAAAATAGTCTGCTTTTCAAAAGTTTTTATCAAAGTTTCAGGGTGCTTTGGGGTGATATTTGTTTTGTAACACCAAAATGTTGGAGGAGGAAATGGTAAATTTTGAGAACTACTGCTATTTCACAGATTTTTCTAGAAAATCTTCTGCATATTAGATAGCCATATTCAGAACAATGTCACATAAAACATTTTGTCACAGTTATGGAATGATTTGTTTTCTAGTTTAATTGTTTATCCACCCCCACCTGCAAAAGGAGGACTGGGAGTCACAAGAGAAGACCTAGAGTGCTTAGAATATGGAGAGTTTCTCAATGATGTCATCATTGATTTCTATCTTAAGTAAGTAATCTCAGCCCTTCTTGTATCCTTCACACTGTCTGGGGAGTGATGTGGATTTGAATGTTACTGGAAATGTTGGTCACTAAATACAACAATTTCAGAAGTAAGAATGTGATGAATGGGATGTTGGACTTTTTAAAAAAGCTGTTTTGTTCTTAGCAGTTTCATTTGTTTTAATTTCATTGGTTTTATCCCCCTGAAGGGCTGTGATAAAATCCAGGCAGAATAACAGGAGGAAAAAAGCTTCTTGGTGACCTTACAGAACAGAAAGTGTTAAGTAGGCAATTGAAAAAAGTAGAGGGCCTGTAGCAGTATTTTATTTACTAAGTTTGCATGAAGTGGAACATCCTCTGCTATACTGTGCAATTTCAGGTATTCTTCTGATGCAGACCTGCAGAAAGGTACACAGCTGATACATCTTGAGGAGGTTGTGCTTGGCTTAGCTACTCCAGACCATCCTGCTTAAGTGCTTGTGAAAGCAGTTTTTCAAGAACTGGCTTTGTGTCCACTAGTCCCTAAAGCTGTGGTTTATTTTCACTCTGCTGACTTAGACCTAAGAAGAATTCTGGTTCTTTTGAAGCTTGTCAGCAGGAATTGCATTTTACGTGGCATCCAGATGTAATTCTTACATCCAGGTGTAATTCTTACACCCATAGTGTAAGAACTATGACCGATAGGAAGACTTGTCTAGAGGATAGGAAAAGACAGGAAAAGGAAGTGTGTAACAGTTTCAATGGGGTTTTACAGCAAAGCCCTTGCTATTTTGCTCTAAAGTGGAACTAAATAGTGCATCATGGTCCTCTGAATAGCTGTAGCTTCTCAACAGAAAAGGAAGATTTAAACAAAAGAACTCAATGCAATTGTTGTAGAAATCCCTCTGCTTTTAAAATTTAAGACTTCCCACATCCTCAGTTTTTATTCTGTTGCAAGCAATGTCATGTACGACTGTGTTGCCCAATTCATCAAGTGAAGCTGGAGGATAACTGCAATTATGAGAGCTTTGGCCTTCTAGAGCGACAGAATAAACACTGAGGCTGATGTTTATAATAAAATTATCAGCAGTGAAGTAATAGGTACTTGGCTTTCACATGCATAACCTGCAAAAGTGAAATGGACAATTTAACTGACCTGTTCCATGCTTTCTGAATAAGCACAAGTATAGCATTCCATAGGTTTATACTTGGTTAGGTTTTCAAGTCTCTCTTAATTGTAAGGGCTAGGTACCTAACTTGCAAAATAAAGTCAGAAGTTTGAATACTGCAGAAAAAATCAGGGACAAAAAAACCCCCTGCATTCTTAGTAGGTGCTTGGCTGTTACATACTCTGATGTGAATTGTTAAAATAGAAAAGTTTGGTGTGATTAGTGGCTGTGACAGCAACTGATACTAAGCATAAGCTGAGCATGACAAGTCATTAGAATAACTGCCCCTTTTTTTAGCAGTAACAGTTCTTTCTAGAAAAAATAACTTCATAATTTGTTTTCTTCTTTGGTAGATACCTGTTACTGGAGAAAGCACCAAAACATGTTGCTGACCGTACACACATTTTTAGCAGTTTCTTCTACAAGTGCCTGACCAGGACAGAAAAAAAGTCCGAGGAGGATGTCAAAGTTTCGTAAGTTCGTTTTAGATGCCATTATGATCAGAAACAATCTTATCTATTGGTGCCACTTTGAAGTTCTGGAGATCACCTACTAATCAGCATATAAAATAGTTTTTGGTGTTTTCCACAAGATTAGTGATTAAATATTGCAACTCACAATTTAAGCATACTGGTGTTTTTCCTTAAAATCAATGTGTTTCATACTGAATATGAATGAAAGTGTTATCACCTTTGTTCAACTTTTTCTGAATATTTACTTCAGGCAATTATTTACTTGATATTTTTATCATAAATGCACAGTTTTGCAAGACATGCATAATTTAAAGAAATTATGTTACTAATAATATTTTTATATTTACCATGTATGTCATTTTACATATTGGTAAAAAATTATTGACCAATGTTTTAGTAAGAATTTTATTGCACATTTGTTTTTTAACACATGAGCTCACTGGATTGGAGAGTTTCCCAAAAAGACATCATTAATAGCCCAGGAACTCTGTATCACATTATGTGTCCTGCTAGCTGTGTAAAGGGTAGAAGCATTCTTAACTCACTTCCAGTTTCTTCTCAACACTGATGATTGAGAGCAAAGCCACCAACATTCATTCAATTTTCAGAGAGCCACAGAATCTGTTAGGTTGGAAAAGACCTCTAAGATAGAGTCCAACAATTATTACCCAGCACTACCAAGTCCACCACTAAACCATGACCCCAGATGCCACATCTACATGTCTTTTAAATACCCCCAGACCCGGTGACTCGGCCACTTCCATGGGCAGCCTGTTCCAGTCCTTAGAAAAGGTTTTGGTGAAGAAATTTTCCTAAGAGCTAATCTAAACCTTCCTTAGCACAAGTTGAGCCTGTTGGCTCTTGTCTGGTTGCTTGTGACCTGGGAGAAAAGAAGGACACCCACCTCAATAAAACCATCCAGGTTGTTACAGAGATCAATAAGCATCATCATTCAGCTTAGTGAAGGCTTTTTTGTTTCTCTCTGATGTTTTTTTAGTTCTGTTATCCATGAACTCCCTAGATTTTTCATTCTACTTGCAAACAAGGCCAGCTGCATAGAGAGGTGTGTGTGCCATCTTGTTTAGGTGACAGTCACTGCTGGGTGAAAGCTGTGAAGGGAAGAAAAGTAAGACTTCTGTATTATTCTCAAAGATGTCCTGAAAGTCATGTAACTGTGTTTGAAAGCACAGCCTTTTACAAGGCTGGACTGTCCATAATCTTCTGGAGGAACAGGAATGGCACTCTTAGTTTATCATATTTCAAGGGCTGTGGCTTTTCTGGATTAGGAGATACCTTAGGAAATTCTAGTTTTGTGTTTGGGCTTAGATTCTCACCCGATGACTGCAGATGGTTTGGGATGTTAGTTGTTTCAGGGGGTTTTTGGGTTTTTTTGATAAATGGCTAGTGACCATCCTGGCTCTTTACTGTTGTAAATTAAATGACTCTCAACAGATGTAGCTACTTAAAGACCCTTTGCTTCACTTTGCTGGACTGAAAAAGTTGCTTTTATAGGTACTTTCCCAGGTTATAAATAGGCCTTTCCCTTTAAAGTTCCCAGTGCTTCTACAGTCATGGAGCAAAGGAAGTTGGCAGCAAGTCTTCACTTAATGCTGGCCTATGCAGAGTCCTACACCAACTTGGTTTTCCACTCCTTACTCATTTTCTCCAGTTCCTACTACTCTGAAGTTGTTTCTTAATCAAAGATAAGGATGGAATCACAATGATAATAGGGATGTCTGCTGAGTAGAGTGAATTTTGTTTTCATATTGAAGCAAAGTTCTGTGAAATGTTGGTTTCTATTGCAATTTGCACAAACTGGGCTGAAAACATAAACTTAAATATTTTCTCTGTTTTTTCTTGTTCTCCTTATTTTGTGTCCTCGTGCTTTGGAAATGAAGTGTGGTGCAGCATTTAAATCTCAGGATTGGAGGGCACACGTTTCACCTCTGTGTTTGCTGCAGGTGTGCTGCATGACCCTGTGCAAGGCATTTAGCTTTTTCCCTTCAAAAAAGGTTGTTCAGATAGGCCTTCAAAAGTGGTATTGTGAAGCTTAATTCATGGATGTTTTAAAATTATTATAGGTCTGTATTTACACTGACTGGTGTTTAGATGAGGTTTTTGTGTTTAGTGCGGTAAATAATTGCAAGAAATCCATTCAAATCTATTAATAATTGTGGTTTTTTTTTTCAAGAAGAGCTTAAAATGGTGCAGAAATGGCTCATTAGCCACTTGGGCTCAATGGTGTACTGATTTATTTTTAATCTGTCTAAAATTAATAGGGAATATTAGGAAATATTTCCTGTTAATTTTAGGAAATATCTAGAGTAAATGGAAACCCACTGAAGAACTGGAGGGATGTAGGAGTGCTATTCCCTATGCCTTGCTTTAAGTGAAAGGACCAAAACCAAACAACAATTGTCATTTGTTTTTTTCAGAGCTGCACAGAGAAGACACAGAAGAGTAAGAACATGGACTCGCAATATAAATATCTTCAATAAAGATTATATCTTTGTGCCTGTGAATGAGGAGTAAGTCTATGTTTTCAACACATTTTCTGTTATTTGAAGATTTCAGTGAATGTTGTGGTGGTAAAAATTTATGGCTGATCATTGTCTGTGATAGATTAGATTTTGAAGAAATAACACACGTGGAATGAGTCATTTTTGAAAACTGTTCAAAAGATAAAATGTTTATTCAGCTGTCAACTTTGTACCTTTGGTATTTGTTTTACTGAAAATTGCTGTTAGGTATTTTCAGACTAATTTGTGTCATCATGATGGTTCCTGTGCACTTCAGTAATATTTCTATAAAGAAATCACAGCAACTCATAGTGTCAGTAGATAAAAGTAGAACTTCCATAATCTGTGCCTTGGTCTGGTTAAATAACTGACGTGTACTTGGAAACTCCTGTAAAACTGAATCATCATTGAAAGGTACATAATGGAAAACAGCTGTGGAAAGGTGCCACACCTTCAGCTATATTCAAAACTGGGATCACCATCACTGATTATTAGTATTTTTTTATTTTGGATTTTAGCTGAAGTGTGGAATGGGTGCCCAAACACTGATAAATTGCTGTGGCGGGTTTCTTGGGGTCTTTAAAGGAATTGATACTTATTTTTGCTGTTATGCCACAATGCAAAGTAAAAAAATGAGGGAGAGGATTAGTATGAGATGCCATGAAAAGAAAATGGCCATGATGGTTGTGTGTCACAGAACAGTTGTCCATGAGCTCTCAATATTATAAAAGCTTTTCATAGCCTTTTCAGAACCAAATGTTACAGAACTCTGACATCTTTTCCTCCCTCTCCTCATTGCTGGGCAGGTCCCACTGGTACATGGCAGTGATCTGTTTTCCTTGGTTAGAAGAAGCTGTGTATGAGGAGTGTCCCCAGCAGAATTCATTATCCCACCGACCTCAGCAGTCTCCAGTGGAGCTAGAGAGTGAGAACAGCAGAGCTGGCTCAGTGCTCTTAAGGGATGAAGAAGAGGGGGATGGTAACAGAACTTTATTCTATAAAGGTATGTAATCTAGGAGAAAGTTATGTCAAGCCATGAATAATTCTAAGTGTTTTTGTCCTTGAAGGAGAGAAATTATGTGAAAGATGATTTCTAAAACTTCCAGACTGATGTAGTATGTTTTTATGTACTCATGTGTAGTAAGGACTGCAAGTTCTCTGCAACTCTGGAAAATACTGGAAGAGACATGGAAAATCAGGGATGATTGGAAAGTTGTTTGGTTTTAGTAGGAATTTTATCAGGAGGAAAGACCTTTGGTAACTCTGTTTCAGGATTCAGAAGGGAATGTTAAAAATTGGTTTATAAATTAGTTATTTTCATATTTGAAAGTATTTGAATACTAATAAGCATGTACTTGAAAATAAAAATACTTTGTTGAGGCATTATTTTCTTAATTTTTTTATTTGTTCTTTTGTACTAGGTGGCAATGAAATTGCTGCTTCTGCTTCAGTTCTGTATTCAGCTATTTCTAAAGTAAGTGCAATTTTGTACTGACAGAGAAACCACATTGCTGAGTTTCTGAAGGCTGTGAGACTTGACCAAGGGATATTGCATCATCTTTTTTGCAGTAGTTATTGATGTTTGCATAGCCTGCAGCATGTGCAAAGCATTTTGAATTAGCATTGTCCTCCTGTGCTTACCTATTTGCTCTGTTACGATTTCATCTGTTTTTAAAATTGATTTATCAGTTTCTACTTTTCTGAAATGAGACTTTTTCTAACTTTAAATGTGTGAACATCTTAGAGTCTGTAATTGATGTTGGTTTTTTAAGATTTATTTTTATTTTTTCTTTTGTCTCAGATCTCCCTAAGTAATTCCAAAAAGCAGATTTGTAAAAGGTATGCTTCTGTTTTCTTTCTAATATTGTAAGACTAAATTATGCAATTCTGTAGTAATTCAGGTATTTCCATAAAACCACAGCTATAGCTACTTGTTGATTTTTACCATGCTGGTTAAAATATTAATTCTTTTGGGTAGGCTGTATGCAAACAAAGTACTTCCTTCAGTGGTGTTGGTGATGAAAGACTGCAATGACTTGTTTTTGTTTTGTTTTTTTTTTTGTGTACAGGCCTTGTATACTCATCTTGGATTCCTTGAAAGCGTGTTCTGTGCAGAAAACTGTTCAGGTTTTGCGAGAGTAAGTAACTATAGTTTCTATCTTTTAGCAATAAATGCTGCTGGTCATATTTCTATATACAAAGTACTTTTGTCTAGAAAGGTGTATATTTCTAATGCTGTAGGAAAATCTATGAAGAGTCATGACTAAGGAAACTGTAATTATAATACAGAGGCTTCTGTGAAAAGCTTGTCTATGTTCTGCAGCCCACAAATGATGGAAAACTTTAAAGTGGAGAGTGGAGAAAAGAGAAAAATAGAGAGGGTTTTGCTGGTGTTGTTTTTGTGGGGGGAGGATTTATCCAATCTAGTCTAGTAACTGCAGGTGTTTTTAAGGGTAGAAAAACATTTAAGATGAATATTTTGAAATCTCAACGATACTTGTCTAGAGGACTGTGGTTCATTTTTTGGATGACACTTACAGAATTAGTGTCAAATCCACTCCTATGTACAAAAATGCAGAAACTAGAACTGGAGCTGTCTCAAAGCTTGATGTGTCAGTAGAGTTATAGTGGAATGATATTTGTTTTGAAAAATGTAAAAATATATTCCATTTTGTATCTGACAAGTATGTGAGTATAGGAAGAATGTAATGAATGTAATAAAAACTTTGAGTATTTTTACATACTCCTAATGACTTCAATGTCTATAAACAACTTCTAAAAAAATCGTTAAATATCTGAAGCTAAATGCAATTGTTCTTTCAGTTCTGTTCTCTGTGCTATTCCTTTCACTGAAAAGTGCAAAAATTTGTAAACTAAATAGCACCACCTTCTTATAAAAGTAAATTCTTCAAAATGCTATGTAAAGTTTTTATGAAACCATCTTTAAATAGAGAACCTCCCTGCCATGTGTCTTGGGAAAAAGAATAAAATAGCTACTTCTATTTATTTATTGATAAAATCTCTGTGGGCTGTATTATTTTAGTGCACTATTCTTTGAGCTACTCCTGAGGTTGAAATTCCAGGTTTCTTGGAGTTTAGAGAGATGTCACAAAAAGTCAGAAAACAAGTGGAGACCTATGGAGTTGTGAGATAAGGGGAGTTCGGGAAGCAAACCTCTTATTCCTTCAGTTTCCAGTTACACCTTGGAAACAAAAGTTTAAAGAAACTGATACAGGGTATCTATGACATCTTCTTTCCCCGGAGCTGATTTTTGTTGTGTTTTGGGCAGTTGTCAGGCTCAAACAAATGAATTAGGAAGTCTACAGTCATGGATTCTTGCAGTTTCTAGAAAGTGTGCTTCACTGAAATGTCTTCATCTTTGAATTGTTTCATATTTGGTGCCTTTTCACAGTTGCCATTTTCTCCAAAAGCTGTTTAAGTGTTCTATGCGTATTTTTATTCTCATGACTGCAAGGACTTGGGACTTTTAGAAATCAAACACGAGATCTGGCTTAATGCATATATTTATTCTCTTAAGTCAGACCTTATGTTTGCTTTTCAGAAGCCCTTAGACTTTGTAAGTCTAGCTATAGCCAGGAGAAAAATATAGGTAACTCCTGCCTTTGAAAACCAGACCCTTAGGTTTTCTATCCCATCCCTAAAATCAGCTGCCAGCCCTGAATGTGGAGTCAGTGAGTTGCTACTGAACATGAGAACAATAGAAAAACCTGATATCAAATAAATCCTAATCACTGTAGAAAAGCTTTCCGAAGGTTTTCATCAAGTCTTTAAATACTTTGTGCACTGTTAGATTGCAAGGGTGATGTTGGTGCAATTGTTACTGAAGTTTTTTGTAAGGTGAGGTTTAAGGGGGCTTTAATGGTTTGCTTAGGTTGAAAAAGCACTGCTGGCTTCTTAGAATGAACCTGGGAATAATGTCTAATAGCCAAGAAAATTATTCCTTTAGTTAAGTTATAAAAATGCCCTGGTATCCTAATAGCTTGTAGAAACTCTGCATGAGTAGCTGATTTTAAATTACATCATGCATATTTGTTTTGTATATTGCCTATTATGTGGTGGGAATGCCTCTGAGTGCAATAGAATATTGCATATTTGGAACAATGTTGAGTAGTGTCCCAAAAGGTATTGAGCTTGGGAGTTATTCCTCAAGTATTTCCACTGTTTGCTTTCTTTTGTAGGTACCTTGAAGTGGAATGGGAAGCTAAACGAAAAACACATCGGGAATTCAGTAAATCAACAATGATTGACCTCTGTCCCAGAGTGCCTAAACAAGACAACAGCAGTGATTGTGGGGTCTATTTGCTGCAGTATGTGGAAAGCTTCTTCCAGGTACAAATGCAAACTACTTTACTCTTTCCCCCAAATTATCTTAAACCACAAAAACCCATTTTCACAGTAAAATAGCCAGACACAAAAAAGCTGTCAAGTGTTAAAACCATTTGAGAAAGAGGAGATGAAATCCATTCTTAAGTAATGGCAGGGGTCTTTCTGTCTGGTGTCTTATGTGTGTCTATCCTCAAGTGCTTCTGACCTTGTAGGTTAGTGTTGCTTTTATATTGATGCATGCAGTATCCCTGACTACTTGTGTGTATTTGGAGCCTATTGGTGTATGCTCTGCTGCCCTACAGGTGTTACAAAAGTATCTTTGCATCTCTTCTTGCAGTATCTAAAGCTTTGTCAGCTTGTGCATTGGTCTTTGAGTGGCTCTGCAGGCGCCAGTTTCTGTAGAGAGAGGGAGGTGGAAATTATTAAAAGGGAATATGTAGGGCTAAGGGAGCTTATTTTTCTTTTCCAGCACATACATTTAAATATCTGCAGATCCTGGGCTTCAGGCACTGTTTTCTAGGGTGTCCCAAGTCTTCCTCCCTCTGACCAGCACACTGCCCTTTGTTCTGTCCTTTGCATGCCTCTGCTTGTTTGGTGCTTGATGTGTGTGGTTTGCCTTCTCTGATATTCCTGTGCATGCAGAGCCTTGTGTGAGGCCTTGGGCAATGGGCAGGCTTTTCTGCTGTAGGAGAACAGATTGCCATTTCAAAGCAGCTGTACACAGGTACACCCACTGGGGGAGGGTGGGGAGATTGGAGCTCTGTGTGCAGATGCAGGCTGTGATCTTGTCCAGGTCATGGGGATGTTGTTGGATACATCATGTGGGATGTACGTCCATAGCAGGAGTGCTATGGATGGGTATGGGCTCTTTGGAAAGCACAGGCACCGAGCACAAGGAGGTAGAGTTGTCCTTCATGTGGGTCAGCTGGAATGCATGGATTTATGCCTAGGGCTGGGTGAGGAGCCATCTGAGAGGTTCTGAGTAGTGCCTAAAGAGCAGAGCACCATGGGTGACATAGCTGTGGGCGTCTGCTGTCGGCCAAGAACAACAAGGGCACGAGGCCCCTTTGGACAGGTAAAAGCAGCCTCATATTCACAGACCCTGGACCCTTGGGGTGACTTGGGCTGACAGCTTCCTGAAGAGTTCCTGACCTGAGCGACAGGGGACCCAATGAGAAGAGGTGCTCTGCTGGAAGCCAGGAAGGTGTGGTTGGGGATACAAAACTCCAGAAGTGCCTTCAATCCCCAACCGTTCTGTGGTTCCCCAATAGATAGGTTGTGCTCTTATGTAGGTTACCAACTTACCAAGGCTTTTGAACTTCCCATTCTCTAACAAGAAGAAGTAAGGCTTGGGACAAGGTGTTTGTAATTTGTCCTAAAGATGCCAGGACTCATGGACTGCAAACCATGATGTGTTCTTTAGTTTACTGTTTCAATTTATCATATATTACTTTATTCAAAGGAAGGAGGAGGTGAAAGGGCAAAAGAGTGAAGAGGAAAAGAAGAAAAAAAATTGGTTTTGGCAAATCAGATGTGATATTGTGGTCTTAACTACCAAATCTGCCAGCACCTCTCAGCTATTTTGTTTTGCTATCCTCTTTTGTTCTAAATTCTCCCCTTCTCATGTCCTGCTAAAAATGTTATCAGTATTCTTACTTTTTGCTGTCTTCTATCAGAAGACTTGCTCATGACATAAAAAGCATATGCTTGAGACAACAAAATCTCAGGATGCTCAACCACAGTATGCTTGATTCTTTGCTATAGTGTGATTGTAATTGTGTTTGGTGACTAAAATGCATCTGTCCCTTGTTAGATATCAAAAGTATGGTTACTTTGTTAAAATACATGAAATTTGTCTTTAATATGTGTTGATACTGATGTGTCTTTAAGAGAAGTGATGATAAACTGTTTGGTGTTTACCATGAGTACCTTTTGGCAAGGGCACATATATGTGTGATTACGGTGAAGGAACTGCAATTTGACTTCGAAGGCTGGCCATCTTGTATGGAAACTTGTTTGTGCCTCCTTGATCTCAGCAGCAGTGGAAGGGTTTGAAATTCATTCTGAAGGTTGTGTTAGGAAATGAATTCCATAAATTATTCATTTTTGTCTTACCAGAATCCCATAGTTAATTTTGAACAACCACTGCATCTGGAGAATTGGTTCCCTCGTCAGCTGATCAGAAACAAAAGAGAAGAAATTCGAGACCTGATCTTGCAACTGCACTTTCAACAGCAGAGTGGCAGCAACAGCTAATAAATCTAATTGGGAAGTCCTGGCAAAGGACACTGCTGTATAAAATAACTGGAACTCTGCTTAGTGATGTTTGATCTCTCCCTGCCTTGCAGAGAAGAAAAAAATAATAAGGCACAAGGAGTACTTTTTGTTCAGCATGTATTTATTTAAAGATTCTTTTTCACTGGTGTTGTGTGGTCTTAAGATGCTGGAAGGGGGAAAGGAGAATGTTGTAGATAAGAATATAAATATGTAAGTTAAAGCTAATGCATATGGATTGCTAGTTGATTCTTGGAATATGAAAGCTGCTTACAGGTATATGCCTCAAGGATATAAAAAACACTTTCATCTTTTGGAGCCTGTTCTTTATAATTCTGTATGGACAGGGATGGTCATGTAGGAGTCAGGCCTGAAGACAGGATCTGGATCTTGTATTATGTCTCTTGATTTGCAGCTGATACAGATAGAATGAATACTATGTATTTTTTTACTTTAAGAATTTAATGTTGACTCTCTTTAGAGATGTATTTTTTGTTTTGTTTCTGGTTAAATACAGAAGTAATCTGCATGTGTCAGAAAATTCTGCCAAGATTTGAGGCTCATGAGTTTTGATGGTTTTTTTTTTTAAAAACTAATTTTCCACCTTCCTAACATTTTCATAAAAGTGTGTTTCTACAAATGGAAGACATTTGTTTGAGAGTGACTGTTGAAATACTTCAATGTCGGGAGTGTATTTTCTTTTAAGTTTTTTTTTTCTTATCAGATTTTAGAAGCAAACTTGCTCTCAAAGTACATGCCAATACAGTACGTGTAGGCAGTAGATTTTTAATGCTGTTCACCTGATTTTGGGGAATAATTCCTACAAATCTTAAGGCATCACCTGTATTAGCAAGGCAAGCAGGCTGTGGCTTAACAACCTCAAAAGTCTGAAGTGTTTTATTGAAAAATAAGGTCATTAAGATATGTGATTTACATAGAAGACAAACGGGATTTTTACCTTGCTTAGGAGAATTGAGTAAAGATGACTGAATATTGAGTGTTTGAACTCAGACTTGATTTGATAAACTAGCACAAGTTCATCATTGTCCTAATTTGTATTTATGTAGGTTTTCCTTGAACAGTGATCACATTTTGATGCGTGCAGTTTTTTCTGTACTTACTGCACGTTAGAAGGTGACTGTTCTAAAAGGATACTTTCTGCTGTTCTCCACTGTAACTTTATTGTCATCTTACCCTTCAGAAAGACTGTGTGTCAGATAACCACCAAAACCACTTGTGTCATAAAATAGTCTACAAAACCAGAGCTCTTAAAGCTGGAAATACAACGGAGAGTTAAAATAAAAATTGAGGGCAACCCAAAGATGTGAGCATCTTTGTCATTGGAGAATTCTCAGGGCCCCTTCCCTCAAGACAGCTCAGAAACCTGGCTTCTGGAAATTCCAGTTGTTATTTCAGGTTCTGTACGGTCATCCAACACCCCTCCACTCCCCCTTATTTGTTTCTCAAACCAGGAAGTGTTCTTTCTCGGGGGGAGAGAATTTTAAACCATTTGCTGCGCACAGCTACCTTCTGTAGCTGTGCTGTGAGCAGCCTTGTGCAATCACTGAATGTTTTTTGTCTTTGTTTCTAGTTTAATTCTGTAGTTTTGCACTACCCCTTTTTTCCCTGCCCCCCAACATCTTTCTCTCACATCCCAGAGTTGTGTCTTTCAGCACCAAAATCGCAACACCAGCATTGCTTACAAGAATAATCTGTGTATTTATTGTAAAACAAAAGATACAATGCAGAAGTATGTTCCCCTTCTCTTTCTTAATCAAATAATATTTTCAGTGTTCCCTTATGAAAAACAATTTGGACTTTTTCTTATGGTAAAGTTAGGTTTTAGCACCAAGCCATTTGTTCTTTTTTAGATTGACTGGTTTATAGATATTTAAAAGCAAAATAATGTATGCAATTTTCTAAATTGATTTTTATAACACAAAAGGATTGCCTTTTTAGATTTCTTATATATGTGCTATGAGAATGCCGATGCATTTGATATTAAAAATATCTCCAGAAGTTGCTGACTGTGGTTGTTGCCATTCTTTTCCCAGCTGCTACAGTTAACCCACAAGTTCATTATAACATAGGCCATCTGACTGCTTTTAAGGTACATACACAGTACTGTGTCTTAACCCAAAAGTCTCACCCAGTGGTTATGGGACCAGCAGCCACCACCCACCCCGTTTCCTGCCATTTGCATTTATCAGGTATGTGGTAAATGCTAGGAAGTGTTTCTATGGAAGAAGCTATATTCCAGGTATCTTCATGTTTTCTTTTTACTTGCTGGAACTCCCCAAAATTAACTTTTTAACCAGACTGACACACACGTTTTAGCACATCTCATGTATTTCTATTTCCTGTATAAAGCCCTGTTTAACTGAAAGAGTGGAGTGACAGAGTATTTCAAAGCAAACCAGTCTCTGTAAGGCTCTTTACCCTAGCCAGTGTAATTTTTGTTTTAAGGCGATCAGTTGTACCCAAATGTACCCCTCAGTTTCTTTAAAAGAAACTGCTGCATTCTGTCTGTGGGATCAGAAAATCACTTCCATGAAGACATCCAAGTCATGGAGATCTGTTTAAGGTACTGCACAACACAAGAAGCAAGGTAGAAGAGAAGTAACTTGTAGGAAGTAAATCTTCCAGGAAAAATCTAATAATAGACACTTAATTTTCATTAAGAACTGGGAAAGCAAATCTGCAAGTAGTTTTTTTGGGAGTTTTTGTTCATTTTTTAAGTATGAAGGGACTGCTGTGTTTTAGCAATGGAACTGCAGGCATGGATAAATTGCAGTTCATCTGGGCTTTTGTGGTCCTCACCTCATGGAACTTGACCCTGAGCTGAGCTTGCAGTGGAAGTACTACGCCTTAGAAAATAATAAAAACTTGAGAGCCACAGTAGTAATGCTTTCATCTTAGTTTAGGACAGATTAGATCTTCGATTAGGACAGAGAAGCAGAATACTGCTTCTGGCACCCATCCCTGACCCAACAAAAAAAGAAACCCAAACAAGCAAAAAGAAAACTGCTTTCCAGATGGAAAAGCAGGAATTGCTTGTAGTATGAGACTTGAAGAGTCTCAGAATTGAAAATGTGTTGAATAAAACCAAGACTGACAGTAATAATTCTGCCCAACCAAACTGAAGTTCAAAGAGGAAATTGAAGTTGGAAATTGAAGTTCAAAGAGGAGCACAGACACTGGGGTCATCTTTGACTATTGAACAAGGTAAGACGTTTCTGGTCAGCAGCTTAGAAAAGAAGGAATGCTGGGAATAGGTTTACATTACATGGACAGCATTGATAAGTGTGAGATTAATTTGGTTGACCTCACTTCCTAAGTCTTCTGCTGAAAATACTTTATGATACTGTATGATGGAAGAGGTGGCAGTACAACAGGGTACGGTGGGCTACATTTCATCAGCTGGAAGTTTAAACAGCCTCAGAACTTGTTTATTCTTGGGAGGTGTTCACCAGAGAACTCTCCAGGAGCACAAGCGAAAAGTGACAATGGTGAACGCCTGGTCACAGCAACCACAGAAACTGAACAAGTGAAAAGGTTTTGTCTAACCTAATTGTCTCTGCTAAACTGACTGGGATTTTGTTGGTGGAGCCTGTCAAATGCCATAAAGCCATCTTTTTTGTACAGTCAGGGAGACAATTTAGATTCTGGATAGTAAACTCATGAGTTTGGAGATAGCAGGTATTAGCCATGGTGTGGCTCTTTAGTAGAGGCATTTTCATTAATGTAATCCTTTATTTGACATTTTTTTTAGTTACAGGTAGATTCAGCTTTTTGAATAACTTGCATTTGAAAACCAGGGGCATCATTTAGAATGGTCTGTGTTTTGTAGCAGTATTTCAGTGAGCACTGCTCTGTAGAGAACTGTAATTCAGCTAATCACATTTGCTGTATGAAAATACGTTTCTTCTCAGAAATGAAAACTGTCAGAAAACCGTCTTTATTTTTGGAGGTACTGGGATGAGTTGGTGTGTTGTGTCACTAGAATTACACTCCTCTTTTTTTCTCATTCAACAAGAGTGCTTTGCTTGAATACTTTTGAACAGATAAAACTTGGATGCTGAAAATAAAGAATTATATATGTTCTGATACAAAGTGTTACTGTAAACGCTGTTTTCAAGTCAAGGAAAGAGTTAGTTTTCCACAATTATTTTGGAAATCTGTTGCAAGTGTTGTTTTGCTTATTTTAAGAAACTTTAAAAGATTATGCTTTTATATATGCCTTTTGCTATAATAAATGTAGGAGATTTTCAGCTCTTCCAAGTCTACATTTCAGTGCTGAAATCACTTGAATATAAAATTGATAGCAAACTAATATGAATAGAACTGAATTTATACTTTTAAAGTATTTTATTTCACAGAAGCTGACATAACCACACCATAGAAAACAAATTTTGACAGAGATGTTTTTAATAGCCTTCACATTGTGAGTGCCTTTGAGTACTTTGACAAAAGAAACAACAATACTGTAAATCTAAAAAACTCTAAGAAAACTTTTAACTGGGTTTCATATTTTTAATGTAGTATGTGTGCTCTGTAAAGGGATTAGTTGTCACGTGTTCTGGAGGTAAGATACCTTTTGCCCTTATTAAGCACGTGTAGTGTTTCTAACCTTGATCCAATTGCATTTGTGCAGGGTAATGCGAGCAAAAACATTCATGGTACTGAAAGTATGAGTTTCTGTAGAGGATAAAAAAAAAAAGCTGGTCTGTGTTGGATACAGGATCATAGTAAAGATATCCAAGCTAGCCTCAGAAGCTGCTGTCTCTACCCAGACAAGCTGAACAGGACTTTGAAACAGCTCCTGGGCACCAGTGCAGTGTTGTCGCTGTGCTGTTCCATGTATAGCTCCAGCATAGTGCTGCCAGCATCATGGTTAGCTTGGCAGAGCCAGACTAGGTCTGCAGTGATGGTTTGATAGATCCAAAATGTCTGATTCTAAGAAAACTGGGGGTGTTCAAGCAGCTCAGTGGTTAAGCTTTAAGTGTAATTTAATAATTTTGGGGCGGAGAGGGGAGAACCAAAGAAAGTATGTTGCTGTTTTGAAAAATATCAGCTAGAGTCTGTTAGATGTCAGAGACAGCATAAAAACAAAAGTCATTTTATTTGATTCCTGTGAGTGTTGTATGTGTAATACTACTGATAATTCCTGATATGTGAATTGCTGGCAGTTCAGTAGAGCACCTAGAAGACAGAAGGAAGCATTGTACTGCCTAAGGAGCTCTGTGTAAAAGCTTTGATGGCAGAGACCTGGGAATCCAGCTTTGAAATACTTATACAAAACCAGTACCAAAAATAGTCACTTTAGTCAACCTGGGAGTTTGTTCAGGTTGATCTGAACACAGTAACCAGGAATTCCTGAGTAACACTATGCAGAATACAGCCCTGAAGGAGATTTCCTAGTGGTCTGAATGCAGTCTGCCATTGCAGGGCAGCTTCCATACACGTTTTCACAGTGACCCTGGATGGGAACTGGGAGTGGTGCTGCTTTCCTATGCTCTGTCCTTTCTGCAGTTTCCTTGGCTGAACATCAGCTACCTGTACTCCCTTCTTGCTGCTGCTTATGTCAGGTAATACCTGAACAGAAATGAAAGAATCGTGACTTGCCCTGGCTTTATGTTTGGAGGAAGCACCGCTTTTGGGATGCTGGGGATAGTGGTGGAACAGCACAAGATTTTCTCCTTTAGCACAGACTCGACAGCAGCCATGGAACCAGAAGAAACAGTCCCGCAGACAGGTTGCTTCAGTCTTTACATATACAATGATGCTTAAGTGAGTAATGTATTTATATATGTGTATTTATATTTGTACAAGCAGAAGACAAAACACACGAGACTTTCTACTGGAGATAAGTGTGCTCCCCCTGATGTTTTTTGGCCAGCAGGATTTTTAAAAAGAGCAGAAATTGAAAGGCCAATGAAAAAGCGTGGTTAATTAAATGTGAAAGGTGCTGTCCTTGTTTGGACTGTCTGTTAATGGTATGACAAGCCCTGGTAAAGAGCTTAGCTGGCCAGATTAAAATTAAAAATTGTGTCAGTCCATCTGCTAGCTCCAAGGAGTCTACTTCAATCACCTTTTCTTGTTTCTTCACTAAAGCAGAATACTGTCTTTGAAAAGAGCAGAGCCAGGATGTATTGGTTGACTTTTTTTACCTAATGCTTTCTCCAAAGATAATGATATGTGACGTCAAGACATTTTCAAGAAGTGCAATGCTCTTGGTTGGTTCAAGGCTACGGTAAAGACAACAGCTCTTTTGCTAAAAGGGATTTGGATTATTTTGCTTTTATATATTTTTTTAATTATACAAATAAGTATGTTTGGCTTCATGTGGAAAATCTTTCTTTGCCTTCCGGGAATGATTAACACAGATCTTCAAATAGTTGCAGGTAATGCAGACATCTTTCTTATGTTCGTGTTTACAAATTTAGGTATGGCAGTGTATAGTATTTCTAATTCTATTTTCTACTTCTCTGATTTAATTGTAACAAAGGGGGCTAATACAGAGGAATGTTTGGTCAAATCTGTGCTGTGATAGCAGTGTAAATAAGACTGATTTCCAGGTAGTATAACTGCACATTTGTCTTGCTTTGAGCGTAGAAGTAGGTATAGGGGGCAATTGTTTTCAACTTTGAGATGTTAAATGCTGGTAATTTTTTCATTTTTTGTTTTCCTTTATTACTTTTATATTAAATATTAAAAAGTAAGGTTCTGTTTTCTGCATATGGGCACTGAACATGTGTCAGTTTGGGTAAAGATTGGGGGTTTGCCTTAGAGATCTTTTTTGATGTTCTTTCTGCCATCTGGTGATCTTCCGCAACAGAGCTGATTATTAATGTACCATCAAAATAATAATGCCTTTCATCTTTCAGTCATAAAAGTCAAAGGTCGACTGACTATGAAGCTGTAGAATAAACCTATAATCTATTGGATGACAAATGCCATAGAATTATTCCTATTCTTTCTCTAATAAATGATTGGTTGTAATTGTTTTTCAGGCATGT